GGGAGGGGCCTTGGGGCAGACGCACGACGGCGGGCCAAATGCTGGTAATGGCCATATCGCTGGAGCGCTCGCCCTCGCGCAGCAGATCCATGGCAAGGCCCTTTGTCAACACGCTCATGCCGATCTTGCCCATGGCGTAGGCCGTCTTCCCGCGGAAGAAGCGACTATAGATAGGCGGGCTGACGACGACGATGCGCCCGCCGCTCACCCCGGGGCCTCCCGCGGCGGACGGCGCGCGGCGCAGGTGCGGAAGCGCAGCCTGGACGACGGCATACAAGCCCTCGGGGTTGACGCGCTGCATGAGCTGGAAGCGCTTGAGTGGCGTGTCGGCGACGGAGGCCCAGAAGATGGCGCCCGAGTTGTAGACGAGGGCGTCGAGGCGGCCGTGGGCGGCGACGGTCCGGGCGACGAGCTCGTTGACGCTCTGCTCGGAGCGCACGTCGACCGGGATGGCGGTCGCGACGCCGCCGGCCGAGGTGATCTCGCGGGCGACGGTGGTGATGGTGGAGGCGGGCGAGTTGGGGTCCGGGGGGAAGGGCGCGGCGGGCTGGGAGGGGTCGCTGACGGTTTTGGCGGCGACGACGACTTTTTGCCCCCCTTACGCGTTAGCATCCTGTCATGGAATCAAGGGCGAGAGAAAGGTAGAGGGCCTGTGTGAGGGTGAGTACCTGCGTAGCCGTTCTTTGCGAGGTCAATGGCGACCTGGCGGCCGATGCCGCGCGAGGCGCCGACGACAAGGGCGACGGGCTGGGACATGACTGCGACGGGTGCTCGAATTGTACTGGAGATGGTTATTCAGGTGAGCCCGAGGAGCATGGCTGGTGGTTGGTTATAAATGAGTTGGTGTTCTGTCATGCAAGCCGCACACCAAGTTACATTGTGGTGATGGGCCGTGAGGGTGAGGTGAAGTGAGGTCAGTTCTGGTTCCGGGGCCGGAGTTCGGGCGGCGTTGTATGAGTTTCCATCCCGGGCAGTATTCCCAGCGCAAGGGCCGGGGACGGCAGGGGGCCCCGTAGCGGGGCGCTGCCTCGGCTTCCCATGGGGGTGGCCCCCGCTGTAGATTTCCGTTACAGCAAGCGCGCCTGGGGTGGCTCGAAATGGAACTTCGTGGGGTGGTACAGCGTAATTAGGTGGGGCTCTGGCAGTCTCCCGCTGTTACACGAGGTGACAGGCAAGACCAGAGACTGACTGGGAAGGACTGGCAGGCACCGCTGGGGTCGTTTCCTAGGTTCCATGCGCCATCCCATAACCCCGCTCTCTCCGTCCCGTTCCCAAGTGCGGGACGACGACATCACGACGGATTCGACGACTTAGCCGGCTCCCAGCCTAGAGACAACCCAGCCAGTGACCCACCAACCTTGATCTGGCGCCTCCACCGCCATGGGTGCCAGACGCTGGGAGGATGAGGCCGCGCAACTAGTCATCTTGGCCAACAACGGCCACCAAGAGCTGCAGAAGGAGAGATTCTCGCTGGCTCTCGAGGATTTCATGCCGAACGACCAAGTCGCGGGGGTGCTCAGGGAGCACTCAGATACACTCTTGAGTCTTGGCCATCTCCAGGCCAGTCAGGCCAAAGCGTCTCCCGAAATCAGCCATCGGCTCAAGGGCCTTCATCGGGGGCTTTGCCAGCTGGCGCAGGCCATTCAGGACCAGATGTGTCGACCCCGTAGGCAGCTCTCTGGCGTCGTGGAAGAGATGATCGTTGGAGGGATCTGTGCCGGCAGAGCTCCAAACGAAGAAGTCCAGGTGGGCGGCCTGATGCTAGAGTCGGAGGCCGTCCAAGACAAAGCGCGACGAATATTGTGGTACAATTGGTTCTTCGTCGGCAGTCTCATCATCTTTGTCCAGACTCGTCTGCCGCCGCGCGGTCTCGGGATAAGGAGCTGGGCCTCGGCCAAGGCAGTGCCGGTGGTGAATGCCATGGTGAACCGAGCGTTTGACGCCCACGGCGCGTCCGCCTTCTACCTCTACGACGCCTATAGCGGTAACAAGTTCCCTGGGGCTCTGATCCTCCCACGGTACCTGAGCTAAACAAGCATTGTAGCCATACAGCATCTGCTGTCGGGGCCCGCCCTGATTCAGGCCAAGGCGCCTCTAATGGCCGAAGAAGCCTTCGCGCGCTTCTCCAGCGAGTACACTCACTTCTTTCCGCGAGGTGACATGAAGCAGCTCTACGCGCCCTTTATCTCGATTGCGCAACTAACCAACCATTCGTATGTGGCCTGTCTCGCTGCCGGTGCCCGCGAAGAGGCTCACGTGAAAACCCAGGTGCGTAGATGTCTGTTTCGCACTCGGGCTCAGCGAGGTTGGGGCCCGGTTGCGTGGCGTTTCCCTGCGAAGCCTCCATGACGAGGTTGGAACGTGCATGGCAGTCAGAGGCCCTTTGATGAGGGAGGTCGTGTTTAGACCAACGCCGTTGCATCCCCCAGGTGGGGCCCCCCTGCTATTCGTGTATAGCTCACGGTCGTGATCAGTGGCTTCTGCTGACCCTCTCGTCAAAGTGCTGGAACCTGCTGCTGCCACAACCTTCGACAGCCTTCCGCCTGGGAGCTTCGATATGCTCGCGCATGCCAGCAAATTGGGAAAATGATGAAGAGTATTTGCAGTTCTCTCGGCGGTGTGCCAAGTCGCTCATGTCCTGTACAATCACCAAGCACCAGTGGTTGACTTGTATGAAGTTGTATCGGAACGACCAAGGCAATCCGGGAGATTTCCACGTGCCCGATTCGATTGAGTGCTGGAATAGAATGCTTCATTGATGTGAAGTTTGGAACGCGTGAATACCGGCAGTAGACCCGTCGTTGAACTGGCAGCTTCTCGGGCCAACCAACCACGGGGGATGCAGCCGAAACGTCACGTCTGTTCCGCTGGACGATTCATGCAGGTTGGTGGCGCGCGGGATGGGGCGCGTCTCCAGGGGTTCGATTACTGAACCCCCCCGGGGCGCCCTGCCTGCAGCGGCAGCATGGAGCAAGCAGCCTCGGCTCAGAAGCCAGACCCGACCGTCCGGACCCCACAATGCCACCCGCTGCTGGCTGCCGGCAAACAGGAGGAGCTCGCCGCCCCCGTCCGGGACGAGATGCCGCCTGCCGCGACCCAAAAGGGTACCTACCTGCTGCCCGGCACCCGGTCGTCACCAATCCCTCGTCAACCTCCGTGGAAACGGAATCTGGGGAAATCGCATCGCATCGCATCCCACACACTCTCCACTCCCACTCCCCCTTTGCCCTCTTCCCATTGCCCCGTCGTCACGCAATCCGAGCCTCAGCGTCGTAATTCTCCGAAGGACCAACAAGGCAGTTACAGTTAATCATCATGGGTGGTGGCCGCATCGACTGCTACCTCGACATAGGTCCGTCTCTCCCCTGTTGGTGCTCCACGGATGAATGTGTGTGTGCGTGTGTGCGTGTGTCAAGGTGAAGCAACGCCCCCGGACATACTGACGCGCGACAGCCTCCCTCTTTAGCTATGTCGCCTTTGTCGACCTAATCGGCAACCTCGACAAGCTCGCCGCCAATGGCGTAGAGGTCGAGTGAGTTCATCGCATGTCACGGCATCGCACCCTCTCAGGCCCCTTGCTCACACCTGGCTAGGTTCCACCCCGTCTTCCTGGGCGGCATCATGCAGGCCTCCGGTAAGACGAATAAACGCTTCTAGGTTTAGCATTTCAAATGTCGACTGACTACTGCCGCAGGGAACAAGCCGCCGTGGACCCTCCAGGCCAAGGCCAAGTACCTCTCGTACGACTCGCGCCGCGCCATGGCCTCGCGCGGCATCACCAACTGGGCATCGCCGCCGAACCTCTTCGAGCTCGCCCGCACCCAGTCGCCCCTGCGCGCCCTGCACCACATCAAGGCCAACTTCCCGCCCGCCGCCCTGCACGCCACCTTTACCGCCCTGTTCCGCCGCTTCTGGGCCCCTCCCCACGCAAACTTCACCGACGACGCCGTCCTCGCCGCCACCCTGGCCGAGGTCGTCGACGCCAAGGGGCAGAGGGTCTTCTCGGACGAGCAGGTGCAGAGCATCATGGCGGCCCGCGACGGCATGAAGGACGCGCTCAAGGCCGAGACGGGCAAGGCCCTCGAGCTGGGTGCCTTTGGCGCCCCTTGGATCTGGGTCACCAACGAGGCCGGCAAGGCGGAGCCCTTTTTCGGCAGCGACCGGTGAGTGTAGACCATCATCATTCCGACAATGTTTGGACGTGCTGACCTGGATGCAGCTTTTGCCAGATTTACAACCATCTGGGCATCCCGCACCAAGACGTGCAGGTCCTGGCTCCAGGGGCCAAGCTGTGAGGGGCAGTGGCATCTATGGAAGCGTGCATCGCAAAATCTAGTTCTTGTAAACGACTGTAGCACAATGAGATACATATACAGACTCATCTAAAATGAGAGCAATCACTGCATGTTAAGAGTGTGTTGTGTTTGATATGTCGGGTGCGAGTGCTTTGGAGTGTTGCACACCCCCACCAACGTTGAACCCGGCACTATGAGACGCGCTCTCACCTCAAATTATTTCAAGCCCACTTCAACACCACCACCACCACTCACTCCCTCACTACCTAACCTCATAAACCCCAACACCCATTTACACCACCTCCGCCCCGGCTCGCCTCGCCATGCAGCCCCTCGAGCTCACACTCATCGTCGCCGCCACGCGCAACATGGGCATCGGCGCCCACGGCACCATGCCCTGGACCGGCCTGCGCAAGGAGATGCAGTACTTTGCCCGCGTCACCACCCGCCTCCCGCCTCAGGTACGTGGACGCCCAGCCCCTCACTTCCTCCCCTCATCGTCTTGTTATGGCTTTGCGCATTTCCCCTTTTGGCCTCCTACGCGGTGAGGAGTATATGTGCCTTTCGGTATGGCGATGCTAACCTGCGGTGCGCGTTCCCCTCGCATACAGGCCCCTGCCGGCGCGGTCAACGCCGTCATCATGGGCCGCAAGACGTGGGACTCTATACCGCCCAAGTTCCGCCCGCTCAAGGACCGCCTCAACATCGTCATCACCCGCTCCGCGCCTCCCCCGTCTCTTCCCACATCATCATCTTCAGCACCATCCTCACTGCCTCCGTCGGCGTCCGCACCGTCAACCACATCAGCAGCAACAGCAGCCTCTTCATCAACAACATCGTCACCACCGCCACTGTCCACCAGTGAACCCATCCGCGTCCCCTCCCTCGAGCACGCTCTGCAGTACGCCCAGGCCCACGCCGCCCTCCTCGGGCGCGTCTTCGTCATGGGCGGCGCGCAGATCTACGACGCCGCCCTGCGCCTGCCCGCCGCGCGGCGCGTCCTGCTCACCGCCATTGAGCGCGACTTCGACTGCGACACCTTCTTCCCGCTCCGCCTGGTCGCAGGCGACGCCGCTGCTAAAGGGTGGGCGCAGAGGTCGCGCGCCGAGCTGCGGGCGTGGACGGGCGAGGAGGCGCTCCAGGATGGGCCGCAGGAGGAGGCGGGCACAAAGTACGAGTTTCAGATGTGGGAAAAGGCTGATTGAGTCTACTACGGAGGACGGTGCGGGCGAGAACGGAGGCAGCGAGGCACGAGCTGAGCATTCATGTGCGCGGATAGACAATGGAATGGCACCCTTATTTTGGCGTCCAAAGTTGGGATCGACTGGCCCTAGATTTACAAAATGCTATACATCCTGATACTCCCGATGCACCACACCTTTTGCGTAGATGGTATTGTTACATTTCGCTCCCTCCCCCTTTTCTTTTGCGGTTCATACAAGACGGCACAGCTTAACAGAGCTGCTGGGGTCTATGCGGCGGGAGAGCCCGCAGGGTCTGACTGCTGTTGCTGGTGCTGCCCTGCTTCACCCTGCTCCGCCGCGCCGGCGCCGGCGCGCTTAAACGGCTCCTCGAGCCTCGTCCAGAACACGTCGACGGGCTTGGAAAGAATATCCTGCGCGCGCTGGACAAACGTCATGTCGGACGCGGCCTCGAGGGCGGCAAGACTGGAGCGCATCCAGCCGACGATGGCGAGCAGGGCGCGGGGATCGGCTGCCGGGTCGCCCTTGAAGAGGTTGCGCCAGACGGCGCTGGCGAGGACGGCGTCGCCCTTGATGAGGCCCTCGTCGTAGGCGAGCAGCAGGCCGCGCCACTGCACGAAGATGTCCTTGAGGTAGCGCTGGCGCAGCGCCGCCGACGTGATGCCGTGGTCGAGGTGCATCTTCTTCTCGCACTCGAAGAAGAAGTGGTCCACCAGCTGCTGCTGCCAGTTGCGGTAGGCGTCGCGGTCCAGCATCCGCAGCCGCGCGTTGATGAGGTAGAGCTGCAGCATCGTGACGTGCGACCACGTGCTGAAGCTGGGCTGGAGCTTGAAGGCTGTAGACGTGCGACTCTGTCAGTTCGGCTGCGCGGCATATAGATGGAAGGGGAGGGGAGGCGGCCGGAAAGACGCACTCTTGTGCCACACATTGTCCGCATCGACGGGGTGGCCCAGCTCCTCACCGTCCTCGAGCTTCTCGACCTGGTCGTTCTTGCGCTCCTCCTCGGTGATGTGGTAGTCGGCCGCCTTGGAGCACGACTTGTACAGCCGCTCCGAGGCGCCCAGCACGCGGTACGACTCTGCCAGGCCACCCATGCCCAAGATCCGGCGCGCGCCGGTGCTGCTGAACAACCGCGCGGGGACTTGTATCGTCGCCATGAGCGACGGCGTCGTTCTGCTGCTGCTACTGCTCGCTCTCGTCTGTGTCGTTGTCGCTGTCGTCGCTGCTCGGGGCAGGCTCTGAGCGGTCGCCGGCGCCATGGTCCTCGCGGGAGCTCGGGGCGCGCCCGCGCGGACGGCGGACCGGACGAGCATCCGCGCCTGCAGCCGGCAGGTCTCGCAGGTCGTCATGGTGCGCGATGTGGTGCGGGAGGGCGACGGTGGACGAAAGGGGGCCGCTTGTGTGTCTGGATGGTTCGGGGTCCCGCGACGGGCGGGCGACTTTTTTTCTAGGGCGTCACGCCTGCAGCTGCCGCTCAGCGCGCATGACACCTCGACTTGCAGCTGGCAACGGCGGGTGGGTGCGCTGGTGGATTGGAAGGGTCCTGTTTCGCCGGCCGGGTCCACTGCAGGTCGGCAGAATGTCGGCTGGCGGGCTTTATACCGGCCGTTAGCGTTACGTCCTTCTGGCACCCACCCATTGGCCGTGGCGTCACCAGCGACTTCATCATGGACATCCAATGTTCGAACCTGGGCTCTCAACCAATCCAGGCTTCGTGTCAAATTTGCGATTCTAGCTTCATTTCTCAGATGCTTCCATCACGCCCGTGAAACCAACATTCTATAGCGTATAAAGTACACGTAGCGGTACATGGTGGTACAGTTTCACGGACTATTCGAACCGTGAAATCACGAGGCTGCTATTCGTGCCTCCAAAACCAAAGCTGTTGGTGACAGCCACATCGACTTTCTTCTGCTGTGCTTCTAGGGGCACAAAGTTAAAGTCAATACCAACGTCTGGCCTTTCGAGGTTGAGCGTAGCCGGTACAATTCCCTGTATCAACATGTCAGCGTCTATGCGAATGGTGGATGTTAATGGATGGCAGCTTCGGACCTCGTGCACGGCCAAGATGCAAAAGAGCGCTTCAATGGCCCCCGCAGCACCAAGTAGATGCCCTATGGCCCCCTTGGTGCTGCTCACCGTGACCTGCGCCTCTGATGAGACGCCCCCATCGCCTAGCATGAGACGACGGATGGCCGCGGCCTCGGCGACGTCTCCCACCTGCGTCCCGGTGGCGTGCGCGTTAATGTAGTCCACCTGCGACGGCCGGATCTGAGCACTCTTCAGCGCCCGCCTCATGGCGAGGTATGCGCCGTTGCCGTCTTCCCTCGGCGCCGTCATGTGGTAGGCGTCGCCGCTGCAGCCGTACCCTCGCACCTCGGCGTAGATCCTCGCGCCTCTTGCCTTGGCGTGCTCAAGCTCCTCAAGAACACAGACGGCGGCGCCTTCGGAAACGACGAAGCCGCTGCGGCCAGCATCGAACGGGCGACAGCTGCCGGCTGGGTTGTCGTTGAACGCTGTCGACAGCGACCGCGCACGACCGAAGCCGGCAAAGGTGAGCGGATGGATGCAAGACTCGGACCCCCCGGCTACCATGACATCGGCGTCCCCAAGTGCGATGAAGCGGGAGGCATCGCCGATGGAGTGCGCGCCCGTCGTGCATGCGGTGGTCGCGGCGTGGTTGGGGCCCTGGAACCCGTGCCGCATGGCAATGTGACCTGCGGCCATGTTGATGAGAATCTTGGGGACGAACAAGGGCGACACCTTTTTGTAGCCCTGGCAGAGTAAAGTGTCAGCGGAACAGAATCCATGGTGAAATTCGCAAGAGCGCTCACATCTCGTTGATGCGCCAGGCTGGTCTCGTAAATCTCCTCCAGGTTGCCGATGCCGCTGCCCAGACACACGCCAGTCGCCTCCTTGCCTTCCTCGCTGGCAGAATCCCACCCGGAGTCCTTGAGAGCCATATCGCTGGCTGCTATGGCGTACTGGGTAAAGGCCGACATGCGGCGCTGCTCGGCCGTGGTGAGCCAGTCGGCGGCGTTCCACTGGCCGTCGGCATTGCCACGGGGCACGACGCCGGCGACGGTGCTGGTCAGTTCCTGCCACCGGGCTCGGGGCTCCCGCGAGGCGACGCTCGTGATGCCAGACTCTCCGGCAAGAAGTCGGGACCAGGTCCGCCGGACGCCGACTCCGAGGGGCGTGATGGCCCCGAGGCCAGTCACGACGACGCGACGCATGCTTGCCTTGCCATGTCCCGTCTTTGGGGAACGCTTACGTCTGGGGCAAATCGAGCATCTGTGCCGGCCCAAACGAATGCTTTGACACTGCTGTGCACCGTCCGTAAGCGTTGTGTGTCGCGACAAGAGCAGAATATGCGAGGACTGATAGCACAGAATCGGCTCCAACCGTTGGTTATTTTGTGACAGGGTGCACACTGCAGACGCAGTGTGTGCAGTTGGCGGACACTGGAGCTTTCCAGGCTGGGCATGGCGTAAGTCATCGAACCGGAGCCGGGGCCCATCCGTGGCGCCGGCCACCAGAGACGAACCTGGACGTGGCTGATTGCCTCCCTAAAGCATGCGCTAGGACGCTGCTGCACGCGGACGCACGCACCGGGCACAATAGCTCACTCAGCAATAGACAACTGCAGCGAGGTGTGCCACGAGCAGGTGCGATTATGGGATATGGAATTAAGGGCGAGGCGGCACGGCGGCACGGCAGCCTTCGCTGAGACGCGGGCAGGCGCAACCCACGCATTTCGTGGCTGCTCCGGAAAGGCACTTCTATAGTCATTTGCATACCTACTACTAAGGTACCTTCGCCTACCGTGGCTTTGCAACTTGTTCCTTTCTTTTCTCTGTCGTCCCGTCGCTCATACCGTCCTTCTGTCTCGCATTGCGACAGCAGAGAGCGCCACGAATCCGATACGCCCGCAGTCCCGCGTCCCGGCCACGGAGTGCAGCGCAGCTCAACGGCCACCTAAAAGGGGACCTTGCGCACACGCACCACGCGACACGGACACGACACCTCGTTTCAGCTCGGGGCCAGCCATCACTACGATTGACCCTCATCCCACGCGCGATTGATGAGCGCACTCTCTAGTAGCTTGCGATTGCTACTGCCGTCATCACATTCTTATTCATCGCTCGATAAGCCTGTCATCCCGTCTCTCGTCGAGCCTAGCGAGGCCCCCGACTCCAAGGAGCTAGGCTGAGACACATCCCACATGGCATTGCAAGCTCCCGCTGAACCGGCATTCTTCGTCTGATCCAGCTTTCGTCTGGAACATGACCCCGAAAGATGGTGACCACCATGCCACCGGCGGCGTTGGCGCTGAAGCGACGGGAATAGACGTTGGACGAGATGCAGGCCGTATCCCTAGCGCGCGGCATTCCTTCTCCTCTCTGCGTCAACCGGATTCTCCTCATGAGCGAAAGGATGAGCCTGAGGGCTATGACACTGACTCTGAAAATGAGCCACTCATGGACCCGAACCTCCCGGAGGACTACGAGCTCCAGGACATGACGAACCCAGAAGACGGGCTGCTTCCAGGTAACGAGCCGAAGCCCGGTGACGAAGAGGACTCGCCATACCCTGAAGTGCGGGCAGCCGTACACAACTACGACGAAGATCTCCCCTGCAACACCGTCCGCGCATGGACAATCGGTCTCTCGCTTGTCTTTGTCGGCGCGTCCATGAACACGCTCTTCTCACTGCGCCAGCCCTCCATCTCCATCAACGCTCTTGTCGCTCAAATCATTGCCTGGCCGCTGGGCCACGGGTGGGCAAAAGTCATGCCTGACAGGCATTTCACCACGTTTGGCTATACGTGGAGTCTAAACCCTGGGCCCTTCAACATCAAGGAGCATGCTATTATCGGCGTCATGGCCAGCGTCTCCTTCTCCGTCGCATACTCCACCGACATTATCCTGGCCCAGCTGATCTTCTACAAGCAAAACTTTGGCATCTTGTGGCAACTGCTCCTGACTATATCCACTCAATCCCTGGGTTACGGCATTGCAGGAACTATGCGCAAGTTTCTGGGTAGGTGATGTTATCATTGCACTGGCGCGTCTCAGCTGACGGCGGTTAGTCTATCCTGCGTCCATGATCTGGCCGAGCAATCTCGTTGCCGTCACTCTCATGAACGCCATGTACGAAGAGAACACCCCGAAGGATCCATCCGTTATCGGTGGGCGCATGCCTCGGTATCGCTGGTTCATGTGGGTGACGATAGGCGCTTTCGCCTACTACTTCATCCCGGGCTTTTTGGTCAAGTGCCTCAGCGTCTTTGCCTTTGTCACCTGGATTGCTCCACAAAACGTCGTCGTCAACCAGCTGTTCGGAGGCACCACTGGATTGTCCTTGATCCCGATAACGTTTGACTGGACTCAGATCTCGGGCTACATCGGCTCGCCCTTGATACCTCCTTGGTATGACAGTATGCAGACTGTTTGGTGCGTTGTAGCTGACCGAATTCTAGGTATGCTATTGCCAACACCATGGTTGGCGTTGTTGTATTCTTTGTTCTTGGGTCCTCCGTGCTCCACTACTCAGGGGTCTGGTATGCCCAGTTCCTTCCGATGAGCGACACCAGTACCTATGACAACACTGGTCGGCCATATGACACTTCTCGAATTCTCACACACGATTTCACGCTCGACGAGGAGGCCTATCAGAATTACTCTCCATTGTTCATCAGGTGAATGGGCCCTGATCGCTTCTTCGCGTGTCGATCAATAGCTGACTGAACAGCACCACCTTTGCCGTGGCATATGGCCTCTCATTCGCCACCATCTCGTCACTCATAGTCTACACATTCATCCACTATCGCAAGCAAATCTGGAGACAATACAGAGACAGCACTAAGGAGAAGCCGGACATACATATGAAGTTGATGAAAAAGTACAAGGAGGCTCCCACGCTGTGGTATATGTCTCTATTTGTCCTGGTAAGTCTCACGCGATCTCGGTTCTGAGGATGGCTACTGATGTGAACCGTTTCTAGATGCTGGCTCTGGGCATGTATACGGTTGTGGCTTACCCAACCCAGCTCAGCTGGTGGGCATTCATACTTGCGGTGGCCATATCATTCGGCTTCTCGTTGCCCATTGGCATCATCGAAGCTGTCACGAACAACCAAATTGGCCTGAATGTGCTCACTGAGTTCGTATACGGATACATTCAGCCTGGCCGGCCGCTGGCGCTCATGATGTAGGACATCCAATGTAGAATCTGTGAGCCGTGCTAACGTTCTATGAAGCTTCAAAACGTTTGGATACATCACCATGTACGAGAGGCCCCGATCTGCTGGCGACTATTGCTGACCATCATGCTAGGTCCCAAGCATTGCATTTTGTTTCAGACCTCAAGTATGGGCATTATATGAAGATACCCCCTCGGACAATGTTCTGGTCTCAGGTCGTGGCGACAACGGTCTCATGCTTCGTGCAAATAGTCGTTTTGAACTTTGCACTCGCAAACATCGACGACGTATGCGACATTCACCAGAAAGACCGATTTACATGTCCAGGCGGTCGCGTCTTCTTCTCCGGTGCGGCCTGTTGCCCCTTTCCCCAGCGCGCTTTCGGCCACGAACTGACAAATGCTACAGCATCCGTGATATGGGGATTGATCGGCCCTGCGCGAATGTTCTCACCCGGCCGCATATACTCGGGCCTTTTCATCTTCTTCATCCTCGGCGCCGTCACTCCTGTCATCATCTACTACCTTGCCAAACGATATCCCAAGTCCCCGCTCAAGTATGCCATGGCGCCTCTCATCTTTGGCGGTGCAGCGGCAATACCGCCCGCGACGCCTCTCAACTATTTCTCGTGGGCCATGGTTGGCTTTGTCTTCCAGTATTGGATCAAGAAGCGTCACTTTGGATGGTGGAGCCGTCTCAACTTTTTGACGTCGTGCGGGCTGGACTTGGGCTTGGCGCTGGCGACGCTCTTCATCTTCTTTGCGTTTACCATGCACGGCGTCGAGCCGCCCAAGTGGTGGGGCAACAACATTGTGTCGACAACAATGGACGTGCAGGGCACAGCGGTAGAGATGAGCGTGATGGAGGGCAAGAGGTTTGGACCGGACTGGTGGTAGAATGGGACAATGTACAATCAAATTCGTATATATCGGACAGCCATTGTATATCCATACCCACGCGGGGCGTCTACGATGCCAGTTGGTATATAGAGAAGGTGTGTAGTTTTTGCAAATAGTCTAGGGTCGTATAATAGTTACATGGCTTAGAAAACACCGCACGCGCACCTTACAGCACCAGCCGCCCAGGCTCCTTTTCCAGGATGACCTTGCACCGCTCGAGGAACACGTGTGCCCTTTGCTCCTCCTCCTTGGGCACTACGAGGCTAAAGACGTTCATGCCGCTCGACAGGCCCGGCACGGTGGGCACGCCAGCTGGCGCCGCACCGGCCCTGCTCTTCTTGCGAGGCGCGAGCTCGTCGATAATGTCGGCCTTCTTGGCGGCGGGTCGCGGTGCGGCGGCGAGCAATGAGGCGGGAGGGATGGCGGAGATTTGCGGCAGGTAGACGCCACGGGAGCCGGCGGCGGCCTTGACCTTGTCGAGGCCGAGCACCTGGTCGAAGAGCTCCGAGGCGGTGGGCTTGCGGGCGGCCAGGGGCAGGTCGTCGTTGGCGACCTCGGCGGCGCGGCTGACAAAGGTGGACACGGGGAGGAAGACGCCGAGGGTGTCGTGGATGCGCTTCTGGACCTCGACGACCTTGGCGAGCGAGACGGGGACGTTGACCTCGAGGGCCTGGGGCGCGGGAGGGGCGGCAGCGGCGGCGGCCTCTGCGGAGGGGGCAGGCGCGGGCTTCTTGGCCGCTTCGGCGACCTTGATGTTGCTGAGGTCGAGGTGGGCGAGCTTGGCGAAGCGCGAGGACACGGCGGCGGGGGTGTCGGCGTTGATGGCGCCGAGGTAGGCGAGGACGTCGCCCTTGAGCAGGCGGCCGCTGGGGCCCGTGGGCTTGATGCGGCTGACGTCTTCCTTGCTCAGGCCGTTCTGCTTGACGAGGTGCTCGACGGCGGGCATGAGCGGGTAGCGCTGCTCGTGCGTCTCGCTTGCGGTGCTCTGCTTTTGCTGAGGCTGCTGTTGCTTCGTGGGCTCAGGCGCGGCGGGAGCGGCGGACGTGGCTTCGCTGCTGCTGCCGGTCGACTTCTGCTGCTTGTTCTCGTCGGCGGGGATCTCGAGGGCGGCAACGTCGTCGCCGGCCTCGGCCAGCACGGCGATGCGGGTGCCGACCTGGACGGCCTTGGCGCCGTCGGCCGACATGATCTTCATCATGACGCCGTCGTCCTGGGCCTCGACGTCCATGGTGGCCTTGTCCGTCTCGATCTCGAGCAGCACGTCGCCGGCGCTGAAGCGCTCGCCCTCCTTGACCTTCCAGCTGGCGATGTTGCCCTCCGTCATGGTGGGCGAGAGGGCGGGCATGACGAAGTTGTGCGCGGCGAGGCAGCGCGCGGAAGTGCCGAGACCTTTACATTCCCACACGCATCAATTAGCAAACAAAGAGCCCCATTATATACGCCCTCGACGGGGCGGCGGTATATGTCTTTAACAGAGAGAGAGAGAGAGAGAGAGGACATACCGCGGGATGTTGCGGCGACTGCCGTCCGGCGGCTGCTGCTGCTGCCCGCCAGGCGGGCCGTGGCACGGCACGCTGCGGCCGTGAGGGACGACGCCATTGAGGAGGAAGGGGACGACGACGACGAGGCTCTCGAGGCAAGATCGATTGAGGCCGGCGCAGGCGGGATAGTTGGGGTCGTCGGGAGGTCGGGAGGAGCGGCAGTCGCGCGCGCGAGGTTTGGATGTGCGTTGGTGAGAAGCTTTGTGCCTGGGCAGGCAGGCGGGCGGTCGTCGGAGGGAGCTGTTGGGGAGCGCCGATACTGCGCGGACCTGCACGCTTTTTTGGTGGGACGGCTTGCGGCGCCGCCCACGGCACTGGCCGACAAAAACGCCCCTCGCGCAAAAACGGCGAGGCCTTTACAGGCTGGTATTGTGTCGCCCTTCCCTTATCGTCTCCAGTGGATTCTGGCGTTTCCCCCCCTGTCTAGTCCCGACTCGGACCGGACGGGACCCCTTCCCAGTCAATCAGTGCAGTACGTTTTTTTTTTCTGGGCCAGCCAGAAGCCCAGCCGGCCGTGAAGCCATCGTCACGCCAGACGTGCTGCGACAGCCACGACAACGGCGACGACAGCCCAACGGTCGACGAGTGCGCCAATGGCCATATAACTTGGGAGGACGGCACTACGAATCTTTGGCACGGGGCATTGAAGCTTCGAACCCGCGCCTACGACCACAATGGCGAGCGCTTCGAGGGCGGCGGCGGCAATGCTGGTGCTGCCACCCTGCCGGCGCGCTGCCGGCACCCGAACCTCCTCCGTCGTCCACGAGCTTCACCTCCTCGCACGGCAACACCAGACGCGCCCCGCCACGGGCCCGTCGTCACGGCTCTTCACATCATCCGCCCGCGCCCTCCGAGCCCCCGCGCCGAAACCCAAAAAGCCCGCCTCACAACCACCGTCCCCGTCGCCCTCTCCCTCCAGGGCATCACCATTGCCCTCCTCCACCCCAGCATCCTCCTCCGCCGCGGCCGCGGCCGCCTCCGTGGCTCCCAGCCGCTACGCCTTCATCAAGAGCCTCGCCACCAAGCAGACCCCGACGCTGCTCTACGAGGCGCCCTCGCACTTCTGGTTCTACTTTGGCTGCTGGACCAGCGGCGTCTCCATCGTGGCATGGACCGCCCTCACGGGCCCGTCGGTCGTCCACCAGCCCGAGGGCGTGCCCCAGTGGGTGGGCGTCACCTTTGGCGCGTCGTACGTGCTCCTCGGCGCCATGGGCTTCTACCTGCTGTCCAAGACGCCCAACATCGTCAGCTCCATACGCGTCCTGCCGCCGCCGCCGACGGCAGCCGCAGCTGCAGCAGCCGGGACGCAGGCCGCCGCGGCCGTCGGGCGCAGCAGCGGCGTTGCCGGAAGGGCCACCGCGGCCGTGGCGTCTGCATCCGCGTCTGCGTCTGCGTCCGCGCCCGCCGCCAGTGCCTCTCCTCAGATCGAGGTCACGGTGAAGCGCATGGTGCCCCTCCTGGCCCCCAAGGTGGTCATCGCGCCGCTCGACCGCGTGGCCCTCAAGTCGCGCTTCTCCCTGCCCGACGAGTACGTCCCCGAGCTGCGCCGCCGCCACGAGGACGAGATGGCCCGCCGCGAGCGCGAGCGGACCTGGCGCTTCGACAAGGAGCATCTGCTGACGATGCCGTTCCGCCGCATTGGCCGCGCGTTTGGCAACATGTTCCGCGGCGTCCGCGCGGCGTGGACCGACATGGGCTTCGGCGTCATCACCGTCGACGGCAAGGACTACAAGGTGGACGTCACCAAGGGCTTTGCGCACGACGGGTTCCGTACTCTCGAGCGCATCGTCACGGTAGGGCCCAAGTGAGCTCTGGGCTCTCCGGTGGCTGTCTCGGGGCCGGTGACTGGTGCTCGACCTCGCGACGAACTGTAACTACTAGAGCATGTCATACGGAGTGCGAGATCATAGTACTGCGCCGTATTGTACCAGTACTGGACTGTATCATGTATGATAGAGAGCTTTTGGGTGTCGTCCGACACTTACTGCAGACTCGTCGGGCCACAAGCCCATGGCCCTCAAAATGATGAGGAGCATCCCGTCTATGAAAGGTTCATCGGTATAACCTCGCCAACATTCAATGGTTGTTTCAGAGAGGGAGCTGTCACAGGAGCATGCCCCACGTATGTCATTGACCCCGGCGCCGTGAAACATGGCTTCCCGGCGCCACGTCCACAGGCAGCCACGTTTCAAGAGCAGCCTCTGTGAAAGTGCGAGGTTACTAAGTAGCGGATACCAGATGCCAACATCCATCGTCGACGACCAACATCAACCGAGCTCCCTAATCCGAATTGGGAATCCCTTCTGCTTCTCCGGAGATGGACATGCAAATCATGGGCGAGCGAATATGGAGAGACAGGAGAGGCAGCTTGACAGACAAGGATCAGCGTAGGTGGCGTGGCGTGGCGGCCGCCGGGGTTTTGGAGGGATGAGATGGAGGGGCCTCTCGGCGCATGTTCCAGCAACGGCCGCCAACCTCGAGGCGATCCAAATTACCCCGCGAGATGTGCGACCTCGATGCCTCGTTCTTCGTAGCGCGGAACGACTCAGTCCGCCGCCATTGGCTTCCTTGTTCGCAGGCTGTCTCGGTCGAGTATTCGCGCTGCCGATGCGCTTTTCTCACGTAAATTGCGCATCGCACCACATGCTGGCTGCGCGTGCCCACGGCACCACGGTCGCGGCAAGACGAGCAAAGAAAAAAAGACCACACTGCATGACTGCCCCTCATGCGACCAAGGAGTGAGGGGCGGCGCCGAGGACCCTGAAGGATCGCTTCCCCGGCGCCGTCCGCCTGCGGCCAACACGAAATCGGATGCCTCGTCTGTGCTGAGATGCCGCTGGTATGGCGCCAAGGCAGCCCCAAGAGGCTCTTGTGTCGGGAATGACGCCATACGCACGCTGCACAGAGACGCATGAGGGACGTCCGTCGCCGGCTAGCGGCAACGAGGGCGTCCGGGCCAACGAGAGCACAGAGCTCGTCTCCTTTGGATGGCATGGCTGGTGCAAGCGGTGAGGAGCGACGCCGCGCTTGTGCCGGTGCGAGCCCACTCGAGCCGACGATGACGAAGTCATGTGGTTGCCCGGCCATGTCTGTCTGTCTTGGAACCGTGGCTCGCCGGGCGGTTGGCCGTTGCGCAGGTTTGACAAGTATTTCCGGAACAGCCGCCAAAAGCGCAAGCGACACAGCCCAGACCACCTCATTCAGCAACGGCATCCCTCCGTCCGACCATTCATGCAGCCATCCGTACTTCCCCTGGCCATGGCACAATCTGCAGCGCTCGGATCGCAACTCACTTTCGAACCGCGTCTGATCGACCTCAGGTTGAGCTGCGACTCCGGCATCTGCAGGCGACTCTCGCCTTGAAAGTGATTGCCCGGACCACCTTCCAAACTCCTGCCGCACATCGTTGATCGTGTCTCGCTGTTGGTTCTTGCGAGGCAGCGTGCACAGCACCACGGCCCACCGTTTCGTCTAGAACGCCATCATTGGCTGCCACCGCCGCGATCATCTAACAAGCGCCGCCCCCAACGGCGGCGCTAATGACGCGGGCTTGGATGTAAGTTGTGAGCGTCGAGTTGAGTCGACATCAAGTCGACGTCGCTTTTCACTTTTCGCTTTTGCTGGTTTCGACGGTAAAACGGTCGCCGGATGCCTATCAGGAGGTGAGAGTTCTCGACTCGCGCAGTCGGTCCTGGCCAATTCGCATGTGTTGGAAGTCCGAATGGGATAGCGACAGGTAGTCGCCTCGCCTTTCAATGATCGTGATATCAAACAGACTGGAGACGGAGAAGTGGGATTGACAACACGGTGCGGACAAACCTGCATGTTATCGTGGTGTTGGCCGAACCTGCATGCGTTTGCTTTTGCTTCTGCAGTGGACTTCAGCTGCGCCTATAATGTATCCGATGCCGCAATCGAAGTATCGGATTCCAGCGAACAACACCGGGGTAACTCCCATGCCTTTCGTCCAGTGTGCACATAAGTCGCCCCTTCTCGTCCAGCTAAGCTTCAGAGATGCATATCTGCAGAGGAACGGTATCCTCGCTGGTCCTGGTCGCCGTCGCTCAGGCCATGACTTGCCGTGGGCGTGGTGTTGCATCTACAATACAGTACTGAACCGTGCAGTAGTTAGGTAGTGAGCAGGGCACTTGCCTGCTGCGCATCACCGTGGCCATGGCCATGACTCGGGGTGAATCGTGAGCCCAGCGCTGGAGCCGGGCGGTGCCCGTGCTCGACGGAATCATTCGCGAAAGGCGGTCGGAGTTAGTTACACTGTAGCTTGTGGGGTCGTGTGGTTGTCCCAATTGGCAATTCCCTGCAGCAGGGCGCCAAGAGGTGTGGCCCGCGAGAAAACCGAGGCAGACGTTCAACTCTGTGCAGCATCTCGAGCTGGGCGCAGCATGAGTCTGCGCCGGGACACGCCTAGACGTTGTCCCCGGACGTCGCACGACATGGAAGGCGTCTGAGGGATCCATCAAACAGCCTCGTCGTGCGGTTCCCCAGGCTGCGGTGGAAATCACAGCCCTTGGCGCCAGTCCGGATGATACCGAGCACGCTCGTGAAACGGTGGCGCGTTGTTGGTGAGCTCCCTCGACGTGGCCTGAGGCAAATCGTCATGGCGCGGCTGATGTCACGATGCTGCGGGATGTGGCACATCGGCGAGTCTGATCCGAGATGACGGCAGCCAACCTTGGCTCTCCTCCCATGATCCCTTTGTCCGCAGACATCGCCGACATTGGACGGCTGTCCCTGCACCAGCGAGAACTTCGCACAGCACCTCCCTTCTCGTAGCTGCAGACCGCGTCGCGTTGGCTCCTCCTCATGCATGATATGATTTGCCCGCCGACTCGCGATTGCATGTTCTGCGGTCAAAGTACCGGGAACACAGGGAGGGTCTCAGAGGGGCTCGCATATGACAGGGGGTCCCTGAACGAGGTGGATGACATGCCTGCTCCCAATCAAACATGGAGAGACGCGGTTGGCGGGGCCAGAAATGACATAAATGGAGGGGCGGCGGCAGGGCGAGTCTTGCGGTTGTGAGAGACAGCGTCGAGTTCAATCTCCCGCGCGGAAGACTGGAGAGCGGTGAGCTGAGCGCTTTTCACAGGATGGCCATGACTGGTGACGGTGATGGCATCGTGGGCAGATGCTCATGGATGCGCCCGCGAATGCGCCCCACGGCGGGTCAAGGGCAGATGGATGATGGACAACCCGGTGGCGACCTGAGCGGCCGCATCAACCGCCGCTCTTGCCCTTGGAGGTGGTCGAGTGGTCCCGTGGATGCGTGGGTTGGGCGTCTTCAGGCGTCCGGTGCCCGTGACGAGGATGTCATTCGGAGGCGAGGGCCGCTAGCACGGCGCGTCCAGCAACCCTGCACGCGCTAAGATCCGGAGGAGGGACCAGGGTCGCACGGACCGAGCACGAGAAAGAGATGGCTGGAGCTCGTTTTACGTTCTCGTCACGTCACTGGCGACGGGGACCAGACGTCGCAATCTGCTGATACGAAAACTTTCGTGCGAGCAAGGCAGCGCGCGCGCTGGTGACAGGTCGACGGGAGTCCGGCGGCCAAGGCTCGAGAAACCAGACGCGCGCGAGCGACGAGAGCCGGCGTGGGGTCCCGCGGCGAGCACGACAGGTCGTGGATGCCGGAGGGCCTTGTGCAACGTCGATAAGAGTACCCCGTCCAGATGGAGACCGGGGACGGGGCAGCACGCCGCCTTCGCGAACAGAGGGGCGGCGCCTATCGTGTGAATGTCTCAAAGCCACCTCGGCAGAGTCGCATGACGAAACGGTCAAGCCAGCCGCGGGGGAAGCAATTCTGATCGAGGGAGTTGAGCCGTCGTGGACCCGAGGAATGGACTGCGCCATTGCGTTGTGGTTTAAGCGGTTTCGGGCACTGCGCCCGCGACGGTGCTGCGCCTGGTAAACAGCGGGCAACCTCTACGGCTGCGTTGCCAGGCGTGTTGCATACCTGGAGCTCACATGGCCTCCGTCTCAGACACCGGAGGCGCGTTCATCGGAACCCTGAACGGCCGGCCGGCAGGTGATTGATCAATCGACGAGTGGGAGACGAGCGATGCGCCGGACCAGTACCTGGCTTGGTCTCTGGGCAAAGAAAGGCATGGGCATGCACTGCGCTCAATCGAAAGGCGGCTGCAACGGCTGCAGGAATGGTGGTGTGTTTGCTGCCACGGACCTGCAGCTTGTGGGCTGATGGGGGTGAAGACGTTTTGGATCTTGCCGTCGTCGTCCGAGCTGGAGGGGACGAGGGGGTGGAAATGTCGATTCCCGGGTCTCGTCCCGGGGACGCGCTTTCCTTGCCGGGGCAGACAACAGAGGCAACAGATGGAAGCCAGGAGCGATGGGTACCTACACCATTAGGTTCCTGCCTGCCTCTCGCCTGCTCGACTCCATGTCCGGCGGCCGGGCAGGGAAGATAAGGTCAGATATAGTGTCCAGGCTTCCCCAGATACAATTCGGTACGTGACGTCTCTTCCCCAAAGTCATGTGGCTACTTCCGTCCTACAATTGGAGAAGAAAAGGATTAGGGCATCCCCGGCTCTGCCATGGAGCCATTGCGGATGAGGTGCGCTCAGCTTCAAGACACCGCGTGCGGCTGCGCGTGGCAGTCTTGCGGAGTGAACTCCCGCTCCGGACTCGTACAGTACTGATGTCCTGCACAGCGGATCCAGAGATTGGAATGCTCCCTTCGCCTGCTTCCCCGCCATGCTCGCTGCGCAGGTGCCGAGAAGGCCCCCCGAGGCCCACCTCACACGACGCGGGCGCACCGCTGAAGCACGCAAGCCAGCGCGCCCGGGCCCGGCGTACAGTGGGCTTGGCGCCGAAGGAAAGGCCCAGCGAGGGAGCTTCCCGCATCGCTCGCCGCGCCGGCCATCGATCCCCCAGACATATCTGGATGTCCGTCAGTCGAGACGGGACCAATGACCGCAAACCATCATGGCGCCATGTCGCCGTGAATGTTGTGTCCCCATGGGGCCTGACGGGAGACGCCGCCGGTTGTCGCCCAGGCTCGCCCAGGCTCAGGCACGTCGAAACTGAGGCACGGAGCCGGCCTTTCAGGGTTCGAATGACCGTCGCCGATGGGAGCCTGAGGGCTCTCTCGCTCTGGCTCTGGGCACATGCTGCCGTCAGACCCGGCGAGGTTATACGGCATCTGCCTGCGGCATGACTCCAATGTCCCATTCGCGTGCTTGGCGAAGGCCTCGAACGCGCCGCGATGCGACGACGAGCCGTTCCTTGGCCGTGTCTAGCGAGAGAGGACCGTCGCCGCCGCCGTCGCCGCCGCCACCGCCGTCGTCTTGCGAAGAGAGCTCGACGGTCCGGGGCGCCGTGGGCGGCCGGCCTGCGTGGAGCCGGCTGAGGCGAGACAAGGGCAGCGGCAGAGGCGACGATCATGTTTGCAGTCGCAGCCATACGGATAATTTACTTGGCACGCAGCAGGGATGCCATGGCGCTGGACGAGGGGGCATGGGCCAATTTGGACTGCGCGTTGGTCGACGACGGGCGCCTCGGCTATCGCGAGCGAGCTGGACCCGGACGGCACCGCCGCCGCCCGGCCAGGCCACGGCAACACAAGAGGCAACGAGCGCTTCTTCATCGTCTCTCTTCTTCACCATTCACCATTCACCATTACTCGTTGTCATCCAGCATCGTCATCATCACATATCGTCTTTGTGCGGCGCTGCGGGTTCGTCTGCTGCTGCAAGTGCTAATGCACACCTGGCGGCAGCGGCCCCCATTATTGGACCGCTGACCGGCGGCGTGGTGGGAGCGGCGGCAACCCAGCGCCCACAGGGTCTCCCTCCCCACCCGTCCGGGCGTTGCAGCCGCAGGTCACGCCCCAAGTACCCAGTACTTGAGGTGGGCGCGGCACCCGTCATTCGCCCCCCCACGGGCCTGTGACTTTCCAATCAGCAGGGCGCTCCAGGGGGACTTTGGGGGGCAAGCTCGAATGGGCGGCCAGGGTTCGGGGCCACCGTTGGCGCGCCGAGACTGGCGAGGTGCGGCTAGGCCAGACTGAACCGTTGTCATCGTCGTCGTCGTCGTCGTCGCTGCTGCCGGCGGCGGAGAGCCATGGGATGGGCCATGGGATGGCCTGGATGGGATGGGATGGACGATGGCGCACGACGACAAGCGGGACGGGACTGCTGTTCTCAGAGAGCACCACCCGTCCATCCACCCACATCCCACCCATCCATCCATCCATCCATCCATCCATCCATCCATCCACGGACCCATTCCCATCATCCTTGCCCATGCGCCATGCCCATGTTCCATGTTCCATGCTCCGCGCTCCAACTTCCATGCCCGCCGCCGGTCCTCCTGCAAGCCCGCCCGTCCGTCCGCTATCGCATTGTCGCCAAAGCGCTCCCGTCTCTTCTGAGGCTGCCCTCCCGCTCCGTGGCTTATCGTGTGTTTTTATTTTCTTTTATCTTATTTTAATCTAGCACCTACCCGCCCGCCTGCCTGCCGCACCTCTCGTCCGGACTCGTCCTAGCACTCGCGCGCGCCATCGTCAGCAGGCAATAAGGCAAGGCCTGGCCCCTCCATCCCTCCCCTCCAGCGCGCCCCCCCGGTCCCTCGGCCGCCCGCAGGACCCCTTCTTCTTCGCTTGAAACGCAACTTTCCCGTTTTCTCACCTCTCCACCACCAACCGCCTCGCCGTTCCCCTCCTGCAACGGTGGGAATTCGGTGTGTTTTTTTCCTGCCTTCCACCGAAAAACAATTCGTCCACAGCGGCTTCGAGGGCTCTTCTCGACCATTGCCGTCGCCGCTCGCTCTTTTTGTTGCTTTTCGGTCAAGGCGTCTCTGCGTGCTCGTTTCTGGTGTGCGCAAGGAGGTGAGTCAGTCTTGTTATCGTCTGCTGCCTCGCCTGCGTTGTTTTGCTGCCTACTCGCCCCCTACCGCCTCACCATCTCCACGATATTTTGCACTTTGGGTCCAAGCAGCCGCCCTGCCTTCCAGGAACTCCTCGCTGCCTCGTGTTCCCTCTTGTGAACTTTTTTCCTGTTTTCCTCGTCGCCCTGCCTCGCCTCTCCTCGCTGCTGAGTTTCTGCTACGCTGCGAGGCTGTGCTGTGGTGTCGTTCGTTGCCCGGTGTCTCGCAGTTGCGTGCGTTGGCTCCTCCGCCCCCGTGCAGCTCTTCCAAGCGCTGTGCCTCGCCCTGCATTGCGCTCCACGAGAAATCGCTCGCCCCTTTCCGCAGAGACACGTTCGCAACACGCTTGGAGCCCGTCGGCATAGCCAGCTGTCTCGCGCCCACTCGCGTATTGTGATTGTGCCCGCGTTTCCTCGCCGCCCTGCCATACATAGTGTCCAAGGACCCCTCTGCTTCACACCGCTGGCGACAGCCCCTGTGTCGTGCACTGTCAGGAGTCCTCGACGAAGCATCATTGTCGTATGCATATCCGCCCCCTCCATCTACTTCACTCGACCGTTGCGCACTCAGCCGCTCCTCTCGCTTTGCCTCCCGCCTGCTTCCTCGTCCCGGGCGCTCCCGTGCTAACCAGCCGCATCCAGGTCGGCAACCTCGTCAGCAGCATCACCCATCAAGGTTGTTCGAGGCTTCGACTTGCTCGACGGATCCGACACGAGTCCGTTCCCCGGCGTCGCCTTCGAACTCCTTAGCCATTCCTTTGCCCGCCGAGATATACAAGTGCCTGGGTCGGCCCGCCCAAATGTATAGATAAACGCCATAAAGAACCGCCAAGATGGACTCGGAAGATGGAGAATACTTCATAAAAGTAAGTGGCGCCCATACGCTCTGCAGATACGTTTCTTCTAACGCATCCCAGCAACTGGCCGCCTTCGTGCGAACACACGAAAAAGCGCTTGCCAACGCGCTGCAGTTCCAGCGTCGCGAGGTCCGCCACCGGTCCTCCCAGAGCACAAGCTCCGTCACGATCCCGTCGTCGCCCACGCTCCCCGAACGACCCTCAACATCGTCCTCGACCAACTCGCTCGCGGCGGCCTTCTCCTTTGGATCCTTGAACTTCACATCGCACAGTGTCAAGTCGGCCAAGCTCGCTCTTACACCACACCACCTCTTCTTCCTCCTCTCGCGCTTCGAGGAGCTTGGCATCAATGTCGGGCCCATGAAGGTCCGCCTCGAGAACCTCCACGACAGCAGCTCGTCTACCAATTATGTGTCTTTTCTCGGCAACACAGGGCGGTCTAGGAGCCGCAGTTCCGACGTGGGCTCAATACATTCTGTTTCCAGCATGCGAAGCGTCATGTCCGGCATGTCTGCCTTGTGGGCGAGCTTTGGCATCGGAGCCAGCATTTCAGCCGCGAGAACGGAGCGCCAAAAGGCTGCCCTACAAGCCGATCTCAAGTACCTCTACTCGGCCTTCACCAAGATCCCATGCCTCAGGTTGGCCCCTGACTGGCGTGCTCGCTTGATTCGAGGGTACGAGGAGTTCCCCTTTGACTCGGCCGTTCCCATATATGTCTTCAAGAACCTGCAGGCGCTGGAGATAAGCAGTATCGATTTCCGCCAGTTCTTTGGCTGGGATCGCCTAGCAGACCAGCTTCGCTCGCTCAGCCTGAAGCACGCCGGAATCGAGGACCCCGCCGATATCTTGATCGACATTGTCCTGGACGACATGGACAAGAGGCGTCGCAGGACGTCGAAATCTCACCCCTCCCCCGCGGCAACCTGGGGCGTCAATAACAGCCCTCGCCGCAGTCCTACGATACCGCATCCAGAGCTCATGCGCGCCGCATCGGCCCCCGGCTCGCCAGATGTGCGAAGCGCTCTTGCTGAGCTGCGCGTCGGTTCCATGACTCCGAGCGAGCCGGCCGTTGACGACGGCGAGGGCTCTGACCATGTCAGGACCCCAGGAGCGCCTGACGATGCCGTGGAAGCGTCTCGATCGCTGGGCAAACCTTCCAGACCGCGCAGCAACTCCCCACCTGGGCCACACAGCTCACGTAACCAGTCCTCTCACGCCCGCTCGTCTCAGCGCATCAAGCGCTCTGGTTCTGGCAGCTCACACTCCAGCCTATCAGATTCTTGGCACCACCACTCCAGGGGCAGCACCGGAAACCTCTTGGCCATGGGTATCTTGCCCGCGTCCAAGTGGCGGTTCCTGCGGCACCTTAGCCTCGCAGATAATGCCATGACGTCGATTCCTCCGACCAGCCTGGCTCCGCTTTCCAACACCCTTTACTCTCTCGATCTGTCGTCGAATCTGTTTAGCCAGATTCCTGACAGCTTGGCCACGCTCACTGCGCTGCGAGCCCTGAACCTGTCTCACTGCATGATTGACTCCCTGCACTCCCTCACTCGGAACCCACTGCCCGCCATCACTGCCCTGAACCTAAGAGCCAATCGACTGCAGTCTCTGGCTGGCGTCGAGAAGCTATACCCCTTGGAAAGACTGGATCTAAGAGACAACCGTCTCTCAGACCCCCGGGAGTTCGCAAGGTTGACCGGGATCCCAGACATCCGAGAGATCTGGGTTGAGGGCAATCCCTTCACCCGTACCCACAAGGACTACCGGGTCGCCATCTTCAACCTGTTCAGGGCCACGCCAGGCTATACTACGGACATTGTGATTGACGGCTACGGTCCGAGCTACTCTGAGAGACGCCTCCTCATTGAGCGAGCTCCTATTCCGGACTCCATCCCTGTGGTGAAGCCTCAGGCCCCTGACGCACCTGCGGTTGTGGACGTCAGCAAGCCGACAATCGTGTATGGGGCGGCAAAGGAGCCTGGCGTGCTTCGCAAGGAACGGCCGGTACCCAAGGCTGTGTCAAGTGAGATCAACACGAGCTCAACTCGGCGTCGCAAGTCATCCAAGAGGCGCATCGTTGAGTTGCCGCCAAGCGAGCAACCAGCTCCACCCTTGGCGGTGGAGGGGCGCAGGGAGGCGCCAAGAAAGGTTGAAGCTACCATCACCTCGATCTCACCACCCGGAAACTACCGCACGTCGAAACCATCCGAGTTCGCCTTGCTTCCTCCTGTCGTTCTCAAGGATAGTCGCAGCGAGGACCTGGTTGGCGACACCAAACCTTCCGTCAGTCCCATCGCTCACGAGCGAGAGGGTCACGACGAGGACCCAAGGGAAAGCCAGGACTGGGACGTCGGTGGCGAGATCTACCGGCGCAGGATCGAGGCACTGCGAGACCGAGTCGGCAGCGGCTACCTCAGTGTCCTCAGTGAAGAGTCATGGGACGGAAACTCGACTTACTCTCCTCCCGGTGTCGGACCTGTGCCGCCTCTACGAGCAGGGCACATCTCACATCACGCGCCACCCACCGCCCAGGCAGTCCACAGCGGCAGAACACTGGGCTAACCCCGTACATGCCGAGTCGGCAGTTCCCTCGACTCGGACCGCGAAAGATATTACACATGATACCCCTATACCCCCTTCCAACCCCGTTTGCACCGTTGCGCTGTTTTGCACTTGTTGATGGCGTTTGTCATGTCACTGTTTGCTGCGCGCGTGATGTTGCTCTCTGCCTGTTATGATGCGAATTCTGTTGCCTGTTGCGTTGATAGCTCGGATGTCGTATGGCTGGTGGTGAGATTGGTGGATTGGGAACATGAAGCATAGCGATGACGGCGTTTTGGTACCACAGGAATTCACACATTGGCACGCGACATGTTATGCTCGCATTCTACCGTCCGCGCGTTGTCAATCAACGGAAGCCGTTTTTGCTTGGACGATGAGTTCTGTTGCTTTCTACTTTGCGTTTCAGCAGCGGCGCACTGGCGGATTCCCCGCTCTCGGGCTCGAGTTTGCGGGACGAGCAGTATAGACTCGAGGGCGACGGTCACTAGACGAGAGCAGCATTTGCGCTCAGATCTAATACACTGGCATTTGACGACGTGTGAGACGAGCCCCGTCCATCGTGTAGTAGTGCGTTCTCGATGCATCAATTGTTGGGCAGGTCAGCCGCCTCCCTCAGAATAAGGTTGGAGTGATGGATGGTCTCGTGCCGTTGGTCCGCCGTCCTGGTAAGCCGCAGGCGTGACGCGTCCCACTGATATGGAGGTCAGCAAATGCCAGCAGCCGCAGTAGCTGTATGTAGCGCCTGACAAATCGAACTTCGATTCTCTGCCCCGAAATACTCGGCGACTTTGATTACAGTGTCATCATGTGGCGACGACGCGGAAAAGCCGGGGCTTGGAAGTGTCATCCATCAAGGCCGCCCGCCGCGCCAGTGACAGGCACTTGTCACCCTCGAAGTCGAGTGTACATTGCGGTCCGGAGCCTGGATACTCCCGGCTTGGCCGGGCACGGTGGTATGGAGCAATCTGGGGAAGAATTCATTCTAGAACGAGCGCGGAGGTGGTACTGGGGATTGGCACGGAGCTCCGTGGGGGCGTAGAGTAACTTTCCGAGTAATCGGCACGCGAGCAGGACGTCCGGTTCCAGAACTGACAGAACGGCTAGGAGCGTCACATCGGGCGGGCTGGGCCGTGATCTGCGCTGTCGGGCATGGGGGTGCACGACAGACGGACGGACGGGCAGCATGCATGGGCCACTGTGCGGGAAGGGCGGGATCGCGAAGACGTGCATGGCATGGGGCGCGGCGGGAGCGTGGCGGTGAGTCGTTCACCGTGAACCTAAATGTTCGGCATGTTGGGTAAGGCAGCCAAGCCAAGCAGGCAAGCTCGGGTAGTGCCGAGACTGGTGTCTGGGGTAGTTGGACTTCGGTGGTTCGGGTCTCGGAATGCGACATTGAGGATGGGGGCGAGCGCAGGATGCTTTCCGTAGCGTCCGCGTTGTATGCGCAATTAGTGTTCGAAGTCAATGGCTGCGAGAGTGCCTGCCAGCTTCGGTACGGAGGCTTTAGCAGGCAGGGCCTTTTCGTGTGAAGGCGTCACGATGTGGCGCAATTGCCAGCATCCTGCGCGCGGATCGTGTGAGACTGAGTTTGTACGACTTGGTCGGAGCAACCGAACATGAACATCACGGGCCGATGAGTGGCCGCGTGCTTGCTTCATGGACAACCTGCGTCTACCCGTAAACGGAATTCTTGAGCCTCGGTGGCGCCGCGGCCCGACAGCGGGTATCTATCGCGGCAGTCGTTCACGATGAATGGCGGTGGCGCCGAGATCGTGGGCAAAGAGGTCGTCGGGCTGGATTGGCACCTGTGCAGCTAAATGGGTAGCCAGCAAGGCTCCGTAGCGTGTGGGCTGGTAATGTCGGCGGCGGACGAGGCTGGGCTCAATGACGCCGACGCCAGGAACCGGATGGGGTCCGAGGCCAGCTCAGGGACAGAGGCCGGCGTGTGGACAAGCGAGCGGACGAGGACCACAATTCCTGGTTCCCCAGATCCGAGATGCAGCTCGTCCAGATGCAGCTGGGCCGCCAGCCAAACGGGCCACTGCGGCCACCTGCCAGATGGGCCGGATGGGTCGAGCACAGAGATGGGGGCAGCTCCAAGGCGACGCTTGGCCCGAACGGGTTAGCTGGAGATCGCGGCTGCTGACTAACCGAGAACCCCACTCGTGCTTGCTTGCCGTGCACGACGTGCAGCTGGCCAACCAGCTTGCCAGTGGAGCCCCGCCGCCTGCTTGCTGCTGGCGTGACATGCCAGGCTGGCCCCCACCCGCGGGCGGGCGAGGCAGGTGCAGAGCAGCGCCAGCGCCGCGCCAGGTGCAAGTGCAGGTGTGAGGCGAGGCCGGCGCAGGGCAGGCGGGTGGAGGTGGCCCGTGCGCCCTGCTGCGACGGCCACTGGACTGCACCTCACGCGTTGTCTGTTTTTCGCTCGCTCCCGACGAACAGCCGCCATCCGACGTCACGTCTCCTCCTCATGCTGCCTGCGCCCATCGACTGCGCGCCAACGGGGCTCCTTTGCCGCTCCAATCTCCCCCGCATGCGAACCTGTGCTTCTGCAGTCGCTTCACGGGTCTGCGGACGAGCGCATCACCCCGCCCGGCCCCGTCACGACCTCGCGCGCAGCCCCTGAACGTCGGCTCCCTCCCCTCTCTGCCCCTTCGCGGCGCCTCGACCTCGGCGTCCACTTCTCGACTGCGATCGCCCGAGACGACCTTCGCGCCCCGACCGCAACTGGCGCCACGCGAGAATAAACATGGCTCCGGCGTCGCCCTCGCCGAGACGGACTCCGACGGCCCGCCGCCGCGGACGCCCGCCCGGCACCACAAACGCGGCCAGGGCAGCGAGGCAGGCTTCCCTCTCTGCCGTGGTAGTCTCCGAGCCGCCTCCAAAGAAGCGCCGCTACATCCCTGGTGGTCCTGGCGGCGGCGGCCGTTTTGTCGATGCCGACAGCCTCGATACACCTGCCTCGACGGCTGCCTCCGGCACCGTTTCGAGGTCCAGCAGGGCTGCTGCCTCGCGCAGCGCCCTCAACGGGGAGACGCCGTCGCTTCCGCGTCGCGAGAGGAGCACCCGTATCCGGGCAGCTGCAAGCGAGGACGCAGACGACGTGTCTTGGGGCTCTGCCGCCGCCATGGCTGCCTCCGTCAAGCAGGCTGAGGACTACAAGCCCCGAGAGGAGCGCGGCTGGGAGGAATTCCACCCGAACCTCGACATAGAGAAACTTTTCATGGTCTTCACAGCCGATGATATCGATGGCTCCGTGCCGCCCGCGCCGGGCACGCCAGCCGCGCAGACTCCAGGTACGCCCTTGGTGAACGGGTCTATGACTCCCCTGAGGCACGTCAACCCAGCCTCCACCGGCAACACCCCAAACCCTCAAGAAAAGTCCGAGATTCCTGTCCCGGACACGCAAATTGGGACGCCCTCGAGGCGCCCGCGACGCCAGACTCGCGACGCTATCAGCTTCTATGGCGTACGCCCTCTAGAGCTTGCCCCGACACCAAAGACACCCAAGATTCTCCCTATACATAGCCAGACGGCCAAGGAGCGCCTCGATCTTAAACTACCATCCTACCGCAAGACGAACCGCATCGAGCTCTTTGAGAGCAAGACGTTCGGGCAGGCGCGTTACGTGGACAAGGCGATGAGCAATGTCGGCTATCAAGAGAGCGACCATTTCATTCGCCCTGACACGCTCCTCATCAAAGCCATCGATGGCAATGCCGAAGACGAGGCGGAAATGTCACCGCCTTCCAAGACCGAAGAGCACGCTCACCATTCCAGACTCGGACGCGTCGAATACGACATGGACGAGCAGGACGACATGTGGCTGGAGCACTACAATGCCCAGCGCAAGCATGGCGAGCTGGAGACCATTACCAGAGAGATTTTCGAAATCACAATGACCAAGATCGAGAAGGAGTGGCATACACTCGAGAGGCGGATACCCAAACCAAACCCCAAGCCGCCGCAGACACATCGACCGCGATCTGGGTCAGCCGCCGCCGTAAACGGCGAGACCCAAGGCGCTGAAGAACCGGACAGCAAATGTGCCATCTGTGATGACGGAGACTGCGAGAACACCAATGCTATTGTCTTTTGCGATGGGTGCAACCTGGCCGTCCACCAAGAATGCTACGGCGTTCCTTTTATCCCCGAGGGCCAGTGGCTGTGCCGCAAGTGCCAGTTATGCGGCCGTGGAGTTCCTGTGAGTCTGCTCGCATGCCCGTCTATCTCTCATATCTGCTGACGTTTTCTTGCTCAGACCTGCATATTCTGCCCCAACACAGACGGGGCGTTCAAGCAGACCAACTCGTCCAAATGGGCACACTTGCTCTGCGCCATGTGGATTCCCGAAGTGTCCCTAGGCAACCACACCTTCATGGAACCTGTGATGGATGTGGAAAAGGTCCCAAAGACGAGGTGGAAGCTCACTTGCTACATCTGCCACCAGCGGATGGGGGCGTGCATTCAGTGCGGCAACAAAAACTGCTACCAAGCGTTCCACGTAACATGCGCCAGGAAAGCTCATCTGTACCTTAAGATGAAGACGAGCCACGGCGCTCTTGCTGTGCTGGACGGTGGCATGGTACTCAAGGCGTTCTGCGATAGACACTGTCCGCCCGACTACGCCAAGGAGAACAACGTGCATCAGGCGACGCGCGCTGCGAAAAAGTTCTACAAACGAAACATGAGGGGCCGCATCTGGGCGGACAATCACGCCATCGCCAACGTTATTGCTGCGCAACATCGCAATGCCATCACAGAGCACCCCCCTGACGAATCCCAGGTGACAGGGGCGAAGAACTCGGCTGTCCTGGGCGACAAGAAGAAGGGCCAGGTGCCTAAGAACGTGTGGAAGCTCCCCTCGGGCGCCCCCATCATTCCCCAGGCGGTCTTTGACGTGGTCGAGGCCTCTATCCAGCGCTTTCCCTTTCGCAAGCGCAAGGATTTCCTCAGCGAGGCGTGTCGCTACTGGACCCTGAAGCGAGAAGCCCGTCGTGGGGCGGCTCTGCTCAAGCGACTGCAGTTGCAAATGGAGACGTTCTCCTCCATGGAGCTCACGAGGCGGAACTTTGCATCGATGGGACCGAGCGGCAAAGCGCGCTTGGCTCGCCGAATTGAGTTTGCCCAAGGGATCATCAACGACTTGGAACAGCTCAAGACTCTTTCAGAGGACATTGTGCAGCGCGAACAGATCAAGGTGGATGCGGCCGAACTTGAGCAAGAATTCGTCGACGAATGCTACTTTCCAGTGGCAAAACTTCTCACCCCGGCGATTGAGAAGGCAGCATCGTACGTTTGTCCCTTGCGCGTTTGCCCTACGATGTTTTGTCATTTTCTGACTGTGAAACGTAGACTGGACAAGGACCTGTTCTCAAGCGGACTGGAACGCATCGAGAAGCGCGTCGGCGAACGCTTCTACACGACTGCGCTTGCTTTTGCTCACGAGCTTGGGGATGTTATCAACGCAGGCATTGTGACTACCCCCGTGATGCAAGATATATCCGAGCCACAGTTCGAGACGACGGAGGGGGCGGCGTCCAAGAATGCCTTTTTGGACATACGCGAGAGGCGAAAGCTCGGAAAGCGCATTCTCAAGGCGGTTCAGCCATATCTCGAGACAGCCTTGCGAGTCGAGTCGGAAATCTCGAACAAGCCGTTTGAAACCCTGCAAAAGGAGCTGGAGAGCTTGATCGACACGAGTCTCGACACTGGCCGGGTTGCCATCGGGGCTGGGGTGGAAAAGCAAGAGGCTGATGAGGATACGATCATGGTGGACGCGCCGGACTCGTCCGAAATTACGGTTAAGAGCTCTTTCAACAATGACGACATGGCGCAAGAGGCCGATATCGACGGCGACGCCATGGACACGGCCGATGATGTCGAGGAGAACGGCGACAACATCGAGGTCAACACGTCCGGCTTTGGCAAGGACGCGGATAAAGCACAATCGTCTCCCCGGAAGAGCAAGCGCAGCATCATCATGAACAGTATTGAATCGTCGGAGACACCTCCTGACAGCAACGGGTTTGTCCCGGCGGCTCAAACAGACCAGGCTGGGCCACCCACACCGCCACAGTCGAATGGCAGCTTCGGCAAGGAGCCGGCTGACCCGCTGGTCGAGGGCGGCATTCTATGGTACCTCAAATCCATGAAGCCCGAAGGCACGTCCATCCTTGGCGAGCACTGGGCTGCTGGTCGGGACGCGGTGCGCATGCTAAGCGAGGATTTAACGGATCTCGACGACGAAGAGCTTAAGGGGCTCGGACGTGATGTCGATGACTCTGTCACTGCCGCGATGCTGGATGCCGAGACCGCGTCGTCTACTGTCGCGACAAAGAGCAAGGCGAATGCCAACAAGACACGGAAGCGGAGGACGTCCGGCAGGAGACGCTGATGCCTCCGCCGAACAATTGTACTACTATTGGGTGGTTTGGGTGGCTGGGCTCACTTTGGGACCGGTGGAGATGTTCTCGTTTCACTTGATTGCGCAGATGTCGCCCATGTGGCCACGAGCTTTGGCGTTTATGGGGTTTATATTCGGTGGGCTCACGAGGAGGGTATCTGCCGTTTGACTGGCGTTGTTGTCCTTGCTTTTGGCGACTTCAGAGCTTAGCACTTTTACTTGAGGCCCATGGGGATCTGGGCATAGGTGCGAGGGATACGGCTGCGAAGGCTATATATATCCATAGCTCTAGAGGGCCGGCATGTAGAGACTATTGACCGAGACGTCATGTACATGATCTGTACGCTATATCTGCTCCGTCCTCTAGCCTGGTTTACGACGTGTCATCGAGATATCGTGCAGAGCTTGATGTCCCCCTTAGGGTCTGGTGCGCAAGGGGCTTGATGAGCAGCCCGCGGCCGTCTCTGCCGGTGGGTGGGTGGAACCCTTGGGGCGCCCGCTGTTGCCATAAAAAGATTGCAGCCAGGTCCCCTTCGGGAACCCGGGATGGCGGGACGCGCGGTGGCACTCGACGACTAAGGGTAGGCAAACTGAGTTGAGCGTGGAAGGTGGTGGTGTGATTCGCGTCCGACCAGGCCAACTCTGTTCTGGGCAGAGAGAGTTGGTGGCTGCGGATTGAGTGTCGGCAGAGGGGCACGCCCAGTGGAGCTGGAGCTGCTAGAAGCTGGGCCGATGTTCGTGGCGACGCGAGGCAGCGTCCGTCCTGGTACCTAGAGCTGCTGCCGAAGATGCTGTACGTATGAATCTAAAGGGTACGTTACGCACTTGTGGGAAGTCTGGGCAGCTCAGCTCCAAAAATCATAAAACGACGCCACCGGAGAGGCGTACGTTGGTTCGCCGCCGCCGCCGTTGTTGGTAGCCAGCCTACTTCGTACGGCGTTGGGCCTTGGGACAGGACAGGAATGTAGCAATGCACCGTGGAGGAGCGCCTGGCGAGCACAACATCATCACCATCATCAGACCAGCGTTGCAACGGGCAGCCAAGGACATTCGCGACGGAAAGCTTCTCGAACTGGGCGATGGCGGGGAGGTGCCGGGGTCATTACATGCAGCAAGGGCAAATGTTTGCGAGTGCTTCTCGCCATTGTTTGTGCGATACGTTTGGACCCTGACTCCAGGGCCCGGCCAGCCGATCAGACTGTGACCGATCCCCTGCATCAGGGTGGTCCGCGCCTGCAGTTGAAGCGGAGACGTGCCGGGTGCCCGCTCACAAACGTCGCCGACGCAGCCATCCGCGGATCCGCAGATCGGGGGACGGGGCGCGTTGGTGCGCGCTGTCCGTCCAGCCTACGAGATTCCGCAGAGGACAGCCACGCTGCCTTGCTGGGAGGGCGGGCGCCGGCTACATCACAATTAAGCAGGTATTGCGTGTCCTTCCCGCTGCAATGACTCTAAGTGGCAAAAGACACCCTCCCGTTCTCGGGCCCGTCCATCTGTGTGTCTCTGTCTTATGCGTGTTTGCTTGCCTCGCCTAGTAGTGGATCGAGATGGGATTCTGGATGGGAAGCGCGTCGCCAAGGGGCCGCAGAGAGGCGCGAAGGGGACCACACGATAAGGATGGAGGGGACGAGCGGACCAGGGGACTCACCGCGCGATCCGGTCGGGCCCAGGCACGGTGCGACGAAAGCGCCAAAGAAGAAAAGAGGGCGAAAAAAGACAGACGCCGCTGGCCGACGCAGGGCCTCGATCTGTCTCTTATACACATCTAGATGTGTATAAGAGACAGGACTAGGAGGGGGGGAGGAGGGGGGAGGACGAATTGGGTGAGAGACCGAGGGGCACCGGGCGCGACGGCGGGCGAGCGGGCGGGCTCGTACGTTTGGAAGAAGCGCTGCGTTGTTGCGGCGCGGTAACGGCGCGGTAACCGTCAAGTCCTTCGAGAGGGTGACGACGAATCCGGCCTGGACGCGTCGCACAAGAAAAAAAGGCGCCCGTCCAGTCCGCTCCATTGCGCCCACGAGGTGGTGCGTGGATGGTGGCCCCCGATGCATCGCATGGCATCGCCTCGCCTCGCCTCGCCTCGCATCGTGTCGCATCCTGGAACCCGGACGACGGGACGGGAGGTTGCGGTGCCGGTGCTTCAGAAGAGTGCCAGGTGCTTGCTGCTTGCTGCTGCTTCCGCTGCTGCAGGAGGGGAGGGAGGGGCAGGGAGGGAGGGAGCCGTGCAGCGGCTGGATGCCCGGCTGGAAGCTCCCTCCCTGCCTGCCTGCCATGTTTTTCGCGGGTGCGCGTGGCTGCTGGTGCTGATGCTGGGTGCCAGTCCTGCTGCGCCGTCGACTGCCTGGAGGCATGGAACCGTTTGAGGGGGGAAGCCGCCTCCAGGGCTGGATGTATCGTCGCCGCCTGATCCGCCGCGGCGGGTACTTTGGTAGCCTCCACGCTGTCGGTCCAGAGACGTCGTCAGAGCTGCGGGCGTCCGGGCATCCGCCGCTGGCTCCAGGGCTCTCTTCGTCCCCCGCCGCCCCCTTCCCCGTCGTCGCTGCACCAGCAGCCGCCCGCCCTGGAGCTTCGAACAGCCCCGGAGCCCTGGAGCCCTGGAGCTGGAGGCTTGGGGCGGGACGGGCGACGCCCAAGGGGCCCCCCCTCCGCAGCGCACCACCCCTCGTCGCCTATAGGTGCACTGCCCTGGCACGCCACCACCACCGGCCGCCCGCCCGCCCTCTTCTCTCTTCCATCTCCTGAGCGAGACCGCGAAAAAACTCAACCCACGACAACCATCGACGACGACGAACGGTTCGAGACGCGCAGAGCAGACCCTTTGCCCGCTCGACTGACCCCTTTGGCGATCTTCCTCACCCGTCTCTCACACACACGGCCTGCGACCAGATAAACTTTTTTTGCAACCCGACGAACGGCCTTGGGCACTGGTTTTATCCACTCCAAAGGCGCCGCCCCAACACAAAAACATCCGCGCTGTCCGCCGGTTTCCCCCCCCCCCCTTCGCGGCGAGGAAAAAAAAAACGTCGTTCAAACGAGTTCGTTCCTCGAGCTCCGCCGACAACGTCCATCGACAAACGACGACCTCGAGTCCCCGACGAACAAGTGTCCACCAGCGACCCGGACACTCCTGTCTCGTCACCCTCCCGACGCGACCGAGGCCCTCCGCCCACCGACGACAAACACCCGCGCCAGACGCTCCAGGCGACGCTCAGGTGGCCCCCTCCTGAAGCTATCCGCAGCCCACCGCCCTCCGAGGCAGCAACGACGACGAACCAGGGCCCCTTCAACGGCGACTGTGTTCCCCATCATCGCGACACCCGCACCGCGTCCATCAGCAGCTTTGGCCTCGTCGTCCTGCACTGCCGATACAGCCGCTCGTTTTCGCTCGCGCCGACAGCTGTCCCCGCAGCCGCCGCCGTTCCAGAGCTGTGATCGCTTCGTGGTGAGTCTAGGCTCCTCTTTTTCTGCCTGCTCCTCCTGCTGCCGCTCCTCACCGTCCTGCCGCACCTCTCCACCACTGCCACCTCCACTGCAGGGTAGCCGCTTTTTTTCTGCCCCTGCGCGGCGTCCCTTCCCTCCATCCCCGCCTCGTACCAGTGAGGCCCGCCTCCGTCGGCTTGGTCGGTCAGCAGCGCAGAGGGAATCAGCGATGGCGCTGGCGCCCGCAGCATGCCTGCTCAACGGGACGGCAAATCTTTGCATGGCCGCTTCTCCCCGCCGCACATCGCGGGAAACTGCAAGCACCAGGCCGCCGCCGACATTCGCGCTCGCTTCGCCCCGTCTCATTTGCCTGCCTCCATCCCTCGTGCAGTTCATTTTTTTCGTCTGCTATTTTCGTGTCTTATCTTGGGGCGAGTCTAACCTCGCCGCATTCCCCAGGCCTTCCGAAGTGCATCGAATCAGCGCATCCGAAACTAGCTCTCTCATCGCACGAGTCCCCCGCAGCCGCCTTGTCCCGCGCATCGGTCTGCTCCTCGCTGCCACGTCCCCTCGCACGCGCAGCCGCCGCCGCCCATCTCTCCGGTTCCCGCAAGCCATCCCTCCCCCGGGGAGATTAATACCATGGCAGACCAACACGAGGTCGATCTCGATTCTATAATCGACCGGCTACTCGAGGTCCGGGGCAGCCGCCCCGGTAAGCAGGTTCAGCTGCTCGAGGCCGAGATCAGATACCTCTGCACCAAAGCCCGCGAGATCTTCATCTCTCAGCCCATCCTCCTCGAGCTCGAGGCCCCCATCAAGGTAGGTTGCCAGCTCCACGCGGGCTGCGACTGGTGTCCGCGTTGCCCCGATTGTGTGATCTGCCGCTGACTGTTTGGATGTGCAGATTTGCGGCGACATTCACGGCCAATACTACGACCTGCTGCGTCTCTTCGAGTACGGTGGCTTCCCTCCCGAAGCCAACTACCTCTTCCTCGGCGACTACGTCGACCGTGGCAAGCAGTCGCTCGAGACTATTTGCCTCCTGCTCGCCTACAAGATCAAGTACCCGGAGAACTTCTTCATCCTGCGTGGCAACCATGAGTGCGCTTCCATCAACCGCATCTACGGCTTCTACGACGAGTGCAAGCGTCGCTACAACATCAAGCTCTGGAAGACCTTCACCGACTGCTTCAACTGCCTTCCCATCGCCGCTATCATCGACGAGAAGATCTTTACCATGCACGGTGGTCTGAGCCCGGATCTCAACTCCATGGAGCAGATCCGCCGTGTCATGCGGCCCACGGACGTGAGTAGCTTTGCTTTGAGAGCCCGCGAGGCAAATGGGAGGAATTTGTGCTGACTCGAGTTTAGATTCCCGACTGCGGCCTGCTGTGCGACTTGCTCTGGTCGGACCCTGACAAGGACATCACGGGGTGGAGCGAAAACGATCGCGGCGTCTCCTTCACGTTTGGTCCCGACGTCGTGTCTCGATTCCTGCAAAAGCACGACATGGACCTCATCTGCCGTGCCCACCAGGTCGTCGAAGACGGATACGAGTTCTTCTCCAAGCGCCAGCTGGTGACCCTCTTCAGCGCGCCCAACTACTGCGGAGAGTTTGACAACGCCGGTGCCATGATGAGCGTTGACGAGAGCCTCCTGTGCTCGTTCCAGGTTTGTTTTCTCGCGCGCGTAACCGCGAGAAGCCAGCCGGCTAACAAGAACCCCGTACAGATCCTCAAGCCGGCCGAGAAGAAGCAAAAGTACGTCTACGGTGGTCTTGGGAGCGGAAGCAAACCAGTCACTCCCAAAGTCAAGTCCAAGAATTGAAGAAAGCGTCATGCGAACCTGATTGTGTCTCTAGGTTCGGAAGGCGATAAAGCGCCCAGCACATCACCCTCCAATTCTGCCGGACGACCACCACGCCGGGCGACGGGGGCATCTCCGCCGTCGTCGCCGAAAAACAACTTTTGTCTCACTCTCTCACTCTCTCACTCTCTGCGACGCTATTCGTCTCTCTGTACTCTCTGCGCTCGCCTCGCGCCGTCACCGGGACCAGGTCCGGCAGCGAGCATCCCAGGATGGGTCGGTTGTGCCTCCGAGGGGAGGCACGTGCATGCGGTGTCGGGGCGCGTCTCTGTTGTCTCGATATAGTGTGTGCCTCTTGTCGGCGGGACGATGGACCCAGGTCGTCTCTAATGCTCATATGCGAACTTGATCACGACAAACGGCTGTTTCTTAGCTCACAGATAAAAATCCAAACATGCATCACCAATCATGCCATGACTGCAGGAGGAAGAAGTGGAATGGCCACCCATGTGACGATTATGCGCCGGTCCGCTACCGGGGACTGAGCAGTGTGTGTAACGGAAGACTGTGGAACCGGTCCGCGGCATACATGAAGCAGGTGCATGCACTGCCGAAACCTTGTCGGACTGTTCCCTCCTGAGCCGTGCCGTATCGGGGACGTGCGACTTGGCGAGCCTCGTCTCGTCTACCTTGTTCACGGAGCGCAGTCCTCGCACCTTTGGCCCCCTATCTGGCGCGTGTCCGCTTGCATACCTTCGACCTCGCCCCCTTTGGTCGCGACCGTGCCCGTGGTGCCTGGCCCAGTCCCAGTCACAGTCGTAGTCGCAGTCGCAGTCGTAGCTCCAGCCGCCGCGGGTGGACCGTGGTGCCGGTCCACGTGCCCGAGGTCCCTCCCGGGCTCGATGACGTCGCGCACGCGGCGCTTGAGCTCCTTTGTCTCGGGGAAGCCGCCGTCGACCTTGCGGTCCCAGAGGACGGTGCTGGTCGTGGTGGCGGGGGTGGTGCTGGTCACTGTCGCAGCCTGGTCCTGGTCCTTCGCGCCGGCCACAGCAACGACACTGCTGTGTCGCTGGTGGACGATTGTGACGACGAAGGTGCCGCCCGTGGAGGGCTGCAGGGCGACTTCCCCCAGGGAGAGGCCGAACGTGGAGAGCAGCTCTTGGGCGTACTGTCGACATGACAAGTTAGTTTGTGTACATGCCATATTCGGGCTTCAACCGGGCACATCCGGGGCGTGCAAAGATGGAGTTGAGAGGGAAGGCGGAGTTGCAAAGACTCACGTAGGCGGCGCGGAGCATCCATTTGCACTGCGTGCAGAACTGGATCGTCACCCGGGGGAGCAGCGGTGACGACGGAGGGGCGCTTATCTCTGCTGCTGCATCTCTCATCTTGTCCTGCTGCCGTTGCTGTGATGAAGCCGCAGCCGCAGCAGCGGTTTGAGAAGTGCTGCCGACGTCTGCCATGGTCGTCATACCACCCGTACCTCGGAGATAGACACAGACCCTCTACGCAGGGGACGCCCAGGTTTCGTGGCAGTTCTGTTTCTCCTTCGTCCTCCCTCTCGACGCTGGATCGCGTTTCACTTCGAGTTGTTCGTGCCTGTGAGCGTGAGAGGTTGACGGGAAGGTTTTGTGGCGGTTGGACAAGGACCCCGGAATAATAGCTCGCACCTACTGTACGCACACGCACAACCGACGTCGTCGCAGCTAGGCTGGTTGCATGGTCCACTTAATCGCAGCGACGTGCGCCGAGTCCACTGACGGACCACGACCAGTCAGTCGCGAGAAGGGACATGCCCGCGAAACCGTACATGAATGGCTCGACGGCCTAGATGAGTACTACCTTAGAAGCCTTGCGTAGGTATGAATACATGAGGGGGAGTTGGCAAGGGAGCCGGCTTCAATAAACAGCGATCACCTTAATGGGCCACCGTAGTTACTACGAGTCCTTCGTATGTACGCACTTGTCGCATTGCGTCTCTCCTCTAGCTAACAATATGGCACGGCGGTTATTTCTGACCTGCTTGCACGACGGGGCATGAGAGCAACGTGAGCGGCGAGAGGCACGAGGAGCAGAAGTCTCGCGAAGAGCAAAGGACACGAGAACAACGAGAGGCTTCATAATCATAAGGGATCCATAACGTAGCCATCGTCCACCTTATTGAAAACAGCACTCTCGTCAGTCCTGTCCAATACATATGTGTCTGGACCGACGGTAGTTCAAAGTTCTGGGCGTCAGCCACACCGGCCTCGTTGACGGTCGCCAACACGCTCCTCCGCAGGCCGTGCGCAACCGGCGCCGAGGCAGGACTCGTCATCGGCAGCAGATTCTCATCGCTCACCAGTGAGCCACGGCGGTTTGTCTGACATGTGTATTACCCTATCCATCTTCGCTGCGGTACCGAATGCCCTCGCTGCACCGAATGACGAGACTGGTACATGACTTTTCTCGGGTTTAACAGAACCAGCACAGCATACCAAGCAACAAGTCTGCAAGAACAAAGAGAACATAGAAGACGGTAAGAAAAAGGAATTAATACATGCTGAATAGCCGGCTCTCCTGCACACTTTTCCCGTTCAGCCCTTGGTCTCCTCTCCTCTCCTCTCCTCTCTCCTCGTCGGCTGCTCGCTCCCCCGACCAAGGCGAAGACGGGCGCAAGATCCGAGAGTTGGCCGGGGACTCAGAGCGAGGATTTGCTGCAAAAGGCATACCTTTCGCTGCTCTTCGGTCGGTCCGCGTTCCCGTTCCATCCCTGGCAATCAAGAGGTGCCGATTCGGGGGTATCTTCTCGCGCCTCGTCCAGCCGGGTCCAGTGCCAGGTCACGCCTCCAGTACTATGTCGATTCGAATGCTGCCCAGCCTGTGCCCATCAAGGCTCCACAGCCCTCTTGAAATGCTCCGCGCTCATTAACGCGGCCAAAACACCAGAACGACCGGCGCCCTCTTCGTCCTGATCGCTGGCGAGAAATCCATCATAATTGTCGTTCCGGGGGCTTTCGTCGCTCTTGTTGTTTGTGTCTACCGCGACTTCAAACTGCTGATTTTACATGACAACACAGCAACCGCCCGATTGTTGAGGGGCATAGGGATCCTCGCCCTTGGGTACAGCGCCCCAGACGGACGGGACCATGTAGTCCCTCGTGCCGTTGCAGTAGGCAATGATGCTGCAGAGTTGGAGCTGTCAGCCATATTCCATGGGCCGGCGCCTGCCATGAATAAAATTGCGCCCTACCTCTTGGCAGCAGTGCTGACGGGAATGCGCTCGCGTTCGAGGTCCTCGCGAAGACGGTTGTTGAGCTCAGTCAACCGCCGCAGCTTGAGGTCGGCCATTGACTGCTTGTTCTTCTTGATCTGCGACGGGTCGCCGACATCGCGCGACGTGTACTGCGGCATGCTGGGCGGTGGGGGCTTGTGACGTTGGGAGCGGAGCGAGAGGAAGGCAGCGGCGGCGATGGCTGCCCGAACACCACGAGGAGGTGCTGTCGGTGAAGCAGATTGAAGCGGTGCTGATTACTTGTAGAACTCGCGACGGGGAGCTGTGAAGCATCGGCAGAAGTTAGCGAAGCTGCAAGGATTGAGCGAGGCAGCGGAAGCAGCGGAGACGTGACGGCCGGGCCAGCGAGGACGAGGGGCGGCGGAGAGGATGCAATGCCCGTCAACACGGTCGGCATGGACAAACACGAGACGTTGAGAATGTTGGACGAAAGCGTGCTCGCTCGTGCGTGATTTGGCGACGGGCTCATTGGGTCGCACTCCTATTTCGCCCTCGGGCGCTCAATTGGCTGGGCCGTGTGCCCGCGTCGTCCCCTCCCCTATTTGCCTCGCGGGCTGCAGCGGCGGTCGCGGCACGACTTGGGATCTCCGAGGGGATTGATTTGGCGACAGGACGCAATAAGGGAATGGACGCAATCGACTTACCAGACACCTCTGGCCGTGGCATTCGCGATAAACACAGTGCAGTGCAGTGCAGTGCGGTGCGGTGGTTGCTGCTTTTGCAGAGCGCGACAAAGGGGACGGACGTGGGTGAGAGAAGGAAATGAGGCGGCGGGACGTGGAGGAATTGGCAGCGAGCGGAGGCGTGTGGTTGGCTGGGCTCGGCTAAAGCTGTCAGCCAGATTTGACTGAGGCGGCGTGAGGGCCTCCAGCTGCTGGGCCTGCTGGGGCCTGCTGGGGTCTGCTGGGCGGGACGCTGGGGCCAGGGCGCGCACTGGCCGGTGGGCATAAGGTACCGACCTCGCGAAGTGGCAGTCAGGCAGCCCAGTGGTGGTGGTGGTGCCCCCAATGCCCCCACACCCGGAAATCCTGGGGCTAGGCCGCTTGCTTGCTTCCAAGTGCCTCCACTGGCAACACCCGCGAGAGAACAGTAATCAGACCCTGCTGCACTCTGGCTTGGGCAGCTTAGCTCCTCCCATGGTCGGCGCGTTAGCCCGCCTGTGGTCTGCAGGTCGGGCGATCCGTGGATGGTCCCTTGCGGCGCTGACTCAGCGCTCTGCGTATGCACGTTTGCGCAGGACGAGCACGCGGGAAGAGCACTCGGGAACCGTCGTGAACGCGCCCACCTACCAGCCAGCCAGGAACAGACCAGTGAGTAACTGCAGTGGGCGGGAGCTGCCTGGGCCTCGGGGGCGGCGAGGGGAGCCTTCCAGTTGGAGGACCGCCCTCCCCGACCGTGCCATCCTGATGCAGCGCCCGCTTGGCCCGCAAGGCTGCTAGTGCTCAAAGGAGCATCTGCGCCGCCCCGCAATCCCCTGGCCAGTGCCCTGTGAATGGATGAAGCGGTGCCGGTTGCTGCACTGGAAATTGGAGTGGGTGCTGGAGGACCGCCTGGACCAGATTGCGACAGCTGAGATGCACCTGCGAGGGCGCGCTGCACCTGCGTCTGGGCAAGGACACTGAGTCTGTCCAGCGCCAATCCATCACGCGCAGCCCAGATTTATATCCTTCTCGCGAACGTCCAAACGGCTATTGGCTAGGTAAGCTAAGGTAGTTGCCCTATTGCCCTCATGGCCAGCGCGCAGTTGGCGCCTGTCCGAGGGGCTACGGGATATATACCGGTACGCATGACTTATTAACCTACACACCGCTCATTGCAGGCATGAGTCCTCGGTAAACACCGACTGAGTTTGTCTGTGCCTCAGAGGATACCTTGACGCATCGTACCAACTCAGATTAGGTTGGCTGCTCCAATTCAGGCACCTGTGACGGGTCATATCCCATGCATCTTGTCCCGAATCGCGCAGTTGCGCCGAGGACGATGAGCTGCCCACGCCCACTCATGGATTAACCTCAACGCCGCTCCCAGTGTCAAAGGGTCCCTGCTTGCAAGAGTACGACCACGGCTCACGGGTTTTGCACATGAGGAAACGGTAGTCCGCGCAGGGCGCATTCATCTTCACCAGTGCTCGCTGCTCGAGCATCTACCTAGTGCCTGCTTGGGGACCGTGCCACCCGTATCAAGCCTGCTCATGTCCACGGATCCATTGCGAGACTGTTAAACGCCAACGTAATCAGTTGGCTAATTTCAACATCACAATAACGTTGTCGCTGTCGCCGCTCAACCCACTGGCCTTATTCCGTGCACGGATGCAGGTCTCAGATCCCTAGGCATGCCCATCGCAACGACGAGCCCCGTTCCTGGAGACACTCGGGCTCCCGTTTTGCTGCAGAGGCAATTTGGCGCCACGTAATCTGGCCACGCATCATAGAAGAGCCTCATGCACAATCCCGCCCATGCCTGCATTCTTCTGGCATTGTAGGATATGCTATCATCTGTCAGAAGCCGTCCATGTCGTAGGCCAGGCAGGATACTCACAAAATACTCATGTCATCATGCTCTCTACAGTAGGACTTGTCTGCCATGATAGGGACACTCTGTTCAGTCGCCCGTGTCGACTTCGAGGTCCAGCTGGACCCCGTTGGAGACGCCGTAGTCGTCCAGAGTGAGCATGTCCTTGAACGGCCGCTCGCCCTGGCGACGCAGCATGATCTGGTTCGCCTCCCGACCGATGCGAGCTGCCACCATGAGCTTGAACTGGCCAATGGTGTCGGATGGCAGGCATGGAATCGCCGTCTTCGATCCCAGCCGGTCGTTGACATGAACGATGATCATTTCCTGGCCCGGAGCGATCGGAGCAGCCATGGACTTCTTGTCCTTCTTGTCCTTCTTTTCTCTCTTGCTCTTGTCCCTGTCTCTGTCCTTGGCTCCTGCGTCGCCTCGCCGCGGGGGAGAACGCAAGCGATCCCGATCTCTGCCTGCCTCGTCTCGGCTTCGTGCCGTCTCGCGGTCTTGGTCTCGGTCTCGGTCACGGTTGCGGTCCCGTGCTCTCTCATCGTCCCGGTGTCGCTCGCGTTCTCGGTCTACTGAACGATCTCGATAGTCCCGGCGTCGCCCATAGTCGTGGCGGGAGGGTCCGTCGTCCCGTGGCTTTGAGCTGTCCTTCCACTTGAAGCCCTTGCTGCCTCGTGGGGCCTTGCGTGGTGGCGATCGAGAGCGCGACCGCGCCCGATTTGCCGTGCTGTCTGCCATCGCTGGGTATGGCAGAGTGCACGACGGCTCGTTGGCACTGGTGCAAGGGAAGAAGCGTTTGCGCCGAAGTGATGAATGAAAATGAGGTGCCAAAGTATGGAACCGCAACCGCTGCAGCCTGCACGGTTGCATTAGCTGGAGCTCGACCAAGCTACTTCCGAATGTCACGTGATCACCGACATGGCCAAGGGCCTCCCACGGCACGACGTTGGTGGCCCGGACTATCCAATACTTTGATCACGAAGAAAGCATAGTACTGCACTATGTCCTCTCATGGGTACCTTCGGTTCTTCTCTGAGTGGACGAAATCAACCCATTGTTCGCGGGCCATCCTGGAACATATGGTACACTATGCTCTCCGTACTGGTTTCATGGATCCGCCGTCAAAGCATGCGTCGCACCACGATCTAGATACATATCTATCTCAACGTCCTTACAGAGGGGCTGCTCAGAATGCCAGTTTCGTCATGTTGCGGGACTGCAAACCTGGCCTGCCCGTCGCGCTCCGAGCGCATCATCGTAACAACTGCAGCTGGGCCTCGGACGTTGCGTGGCCCCGGCTGGCTGACATAATCCACCCACGTGACGCGCGACGTCCCACTAGCCCCTCAACGCTCGGATATCGTCCACACACGAAATTGAAAAATTCACTCCTGTCTGCTGTGCCCGCTTCACCACCACGAGTCCCAGCAAGTGCCCCATCATCGCACTCTGGCTTGTGAAGGCTTCGCATAGCCCCGACAACTCCTCTCACCGACAAAGTCAACCCACAGAGGAGGTTGCCCAGCATGGTGCGTCACGACCCTCCTCCCTCGATCAGCCACCCTCGACGATGCCGTCCTGCCCCTCCCCTCACCACACCGTCGCCGTGTCGTCACGATACTAACGCGAGTTTTTCCGTCAGCCTCCTCCGCCGCACCAGAAGCCCGAAAATGTCTTGAAGCGCGCCCACGAGCTCATCGGGGTCAACCAGGCCTCCGCGGCCCTGACCCTGCTTCACGAGCACATCACCAGCAAGCGCTCGCGCAATGTCCCGATCGCCTCGCTGGAGCCCGTGATGCTCCTCCTCGTCGAGCTGTCCGTCGAGCAAAAGAAGGGCAAGCTTGCCAAGGACGCGCTGTACCAGTACAAGAACATTTCGCAGAACACCAACATCGCAACCATCGAGGTACTGTCCCTTTCCAACGACGCGACGCCTGGCCGTTACGCTAACAACCAGCAGCTGGTCTTGAAGAAGTTTATCGAGTTGGCCGTCGAAAAGGTCACCGCCGCCCAGGCCAAGGCCGACGAAGTCCAGTCCAACCTTGAGGCCACCGCCGCCACTTCCAACATCGACGATCTTGAGGCCACCGAGACCCCCGAGTCCATCCTTCTCGCCACCGTCTCCGGCGAGCAGTCCCGCGATCGCACAGACCGTGCCATTGTCACTCCCTGGCTCAAGTTCCTCTGGGAAGCGTACCGCACAGTCCTCGACATCCTCCGCAACAATGCCCGCCTCGAGATTCTGTACCAGAGCACGGCTATGCAGGCCTTCGACTTCTGCTTGAAGTACACCCGCAAGACCGAGTTCCGAAGACTCTGCGAGCTCCTCCGCAACCATGTCCAGACGGCGGCCAAGTATTCTTCGCAGATGCACGCCATCAACCTGAGCGACCCCGACACTCTGCAGCGCCATCTCGAGACGCGCTTCCAGCAGCTCAACGTTGCGGTTGAGCTGGAGCTGTGGCAGGAGGCCTTCCGCAGCGTCGAGGATATCCACACTCTGCTCAACCTCAGCAAGCGCCCGCCCAAGAACATTATGATGGCCAACTACTACGAGAAGCTCACGCGCATCTTCCTTGTCGGCGAGAACTACCTATTCCACGCCGCCGCCTGGTCGCGCTACTACACCCTGCTCAGGCAGTCGTCCGCCCTCGTGGCCAGCGGCCAGGGCAAGAAGTCGGACAACCCGCCCGCCTCTGACGCCGATCTTCAGAAGGCCGCTTCGTTCGTCCTCTTGTCCGCTCTCGCCATCCCCGTCATCAGCACCACCCGATCTCGTGGCGCCATGGTGGACTTTGACGAGGCCCGCAAGAACAAGAACTCTCGCCTGACGCATCTTCTGGGCATGAACCAGGCCCCCACCCGTGCTCGCCTCTTCCGCGATGCGCTGTCCAAGTCGCTTCTGCAGCGCGCCCGCCCTGAGATCCGGGACCTCTACAACATTCTCGAGGTCGACTTCCACCCTCTGTCTATCTGCAAGAAGATCTCGCCCATCTTGACCAAGATCGGCGCTGATGCTGAGATGGAGCGCTACATCCTTCCCCTGCAGCAGGTCATTCTCACGAGACTCTTCCAGCAGCTGTCTCAGGTTTACGAGACAGTCGACCTGTCTTTTGTTGAGTCCCTCGCTCAGTTCCCCGAGCCCTACCAGGTCACTCGCGGCACCATTGAGAAGTTCATCATGAACGGCAACAAGAAGGGCGACCTCGCTATCCGTATGGACCATGCCACCGGAGTTCTGAGCTTCGACAACGACGTCTTCTCGTCGTCCAAGGCTGGCCACGCCGGCTCCGGTGCCGGCTCTTCCGAGTCGGAGACGGGCACTGTCCAGCGTCTGCAAAGCACTCCTTCGGAGATTGTCCGCTCGCAGCTCACGCGCCTTGTCCGGTCCCTGTACACCACCTGCCACTACATTGACCCCGAGTTCAACAAGGAGCGCGTTGCGGCTCGCAATGCGGCCCTTGCTCGTGCCAAGGCGGGCGCCGAGCAGGAGCACCTCGAGACTGTTGCTCGCAAGGAGATCATCCAGAAGCGCAAGGAGGAGGCTTCCGAGATTCAGGCCAAGCGAGAGAAGGAGAACGCTCGCCAGAAGCGTCTCCGCGAGCAGGCTCTCCAGGAGGCTGAGGACAGGCGTCTGGAGGCCGAGCAGAAGGAGCGTGAGGCCAAGCGCATGAAGGCCGAGCACGATCGTGTGCGCAAGGAGGAGCTCAAGAAACAGATTGCTGACCTCAAGATGAGCGACAAGGCTCTTGACATCGACCTGGAGGACCTGGACAACCTGGACAGCAACCGACTCCGCGCCATGAAGCTCGCCCAGCTGGAGCGTGAGAAGAACGATGTCAACGAGAAGCTGCGCATCACTGGCAAGCGCATGGACCACCTGGAACGAGCCTACCGTAAGGAAGAGGTGAAGAAACTGGGTGACGACTACGCCACGCAGGTTGAGCAGGATCGCGCAATCTACGAAAAGGTCACGGCCAAGACGCTTAAGGAGGCAGAGGAGAAGCACAAGGAGAGCGTCGAGCTCAAGCACCGCCTCAGCCGCCTGGTTCCCCTCTATGAAAAGTTCAGGAGCAATCTCCACGAGCGCCGCCGCGACGAGTTCGAGAAGCGCCGCAAGGATGCGGAGCGCGAGCTGGAAAAGCAGATTGCCGCTCGCAAGAAGGAGTACCGCGACCGCAAGCTGCGGGAGAAGCGGGAACGCGAGGAGAAGGAGCGCCAGCTCCGCGAGGCTGAGGAGCGCGCCGCCCGCGAGAAGGAGGAGCAGCGCCAGCGCGACGAGGCCCGAAAGGCCGAGTTGGCCAAGCTCAAGGAGCAGCGCGAGAAGGAGCGACAGGAGATGCTGGAGAAGGCAGCCCTGCAACAGCGTCGCGAGGAGGAGGCTCTGGCTCGCCGCAAGGCCGAGAGAGAGAAGGGTGGCCTGCCCACCCGAACAGAGACGCCCGAAGGCGCCCGCAGGCCGCCTGTCATCGGCTCTGGCAAGTGGCGCGAACGGGATGCGTCGCGACCCACCGAGGGCGCTGCCGCCGCGCCGCCTTCGCGGACCGAACCTCCCATGGAGCGGACAGAGTCGAACGATCGCCCGTCGGCGGGTGGGCCTCCTCGCCTGCAGCTCGCCGGCGGCAACAAGCCGAGCTGGCGAGAGCGGGAGGCTGCCAGGATTGCGGCCGGAGGTGCCCCCGCCGGAGACAAGGACAGCGCCGCGCCTCCGCCGCCCAGAAGCTTCGGATCGCGCGGTGCCCCCATGGAGCGTGGCGATTCGGGCCGTGGAGAGAATGGCCGGACGGAGTCGCCCGCTCCCCCCGCCGAGGCCCTGCCGGCCTCGCGGGCTCCCGGGAAGTGGGTGCCTCCTCACATGAGGAAATGAGTGTGATGAGCAGGACGAGGAGGACGACATGGGCTGCAACTGATCTTTGCATTGGCGTTTTCAGGGAAGGGGATTGGCTGCGGTGCATGTACTGTACTCTAGAGCTCAGTCTAATGTCGGTGCTCTTGAGGCCCGTCGAGCACGGCACAGAATGGAAAGAAAAGGTAGCTTTCGATGCAAATGCACGACGCAAGGAGGGATGCCTTCACCGCAATTCGGTTCTCGAAACAAATGGCTGTACGTAATTCGCGCACGTGGATCACTGACCGTGGTCATGTTGAATATACGTCCAGGGATCGCCTGTAAAAACAAAAGCTGCACCGCAGCACCTCCTTGATAGGTGAGGCTGAATCGCGGGTTGCACTGGACCAGGTTCGTCTAGCCGTCTGGCTGGCATCAGGGTGTGATTGCTTCTCCCTCGACTATCTTCGAAGTGCTATTATCCTTGACCGGCATATAGCTCAGGGCACGACCAGGCAGCGTCACAGTCACCGTGGTTGGATCCGATTGGGACGGTCGCCCAGCCGAGAGTATAAGCCGACGTGCCGTCACAACGCAGCGCTACGCCGGAATACGAAGCATGCAGTTCACGCCGATGCAAGTGAGCGCTACGATTCCTGTCACTGTTAACGGCTCGCTCACGGCTCTCGACAGATAGCGGTGGGCGCGCTCCTGACGACGGTTGCTTTTGTAAACTTGTCCCTCCTCCTTTTTCTTTTCTTTTGCAACGCAGAAACCTCTGTTTTCAACCGTGGAGAACCCGTGTTGATGTTCTTGTTGTCTGTTATTATGAGCCGGGGAGGCAGAAGCGGTCGTTTCCGCGGCGGCCCGCGATCGACCGTAGACGAGCAGATTTTATAAACCTCGCTGGTGTTTCAGATCGAAAGACGATGCAACGACGGTGGAGAGTCAAGGAACAATGGAGTCCGGGCAGCGAACGCACGGGCGTCGAGCAACCACTAACAGATGCGCCTTGCGAATACGACGGATTGTGCAGAATAAACACGGGCCGGAGCAGGGACAGGGCCGGCTGCCACGGCGAAGCTGATGACAGAAGGAAGCAGAGCTGACCAGCAGACGCGGGCGCGTTCCAGCACGGCAGAACCTTGACAGCTGCCCTGTTCCATGGCAGCCAGGGTCTGCGGGTGTGTCTGCGGACAATGTCAGCATCATGCTGTCATGTCGTGCATGAAGCCCAGGGAGCTTTGCTGACCACCCAGCAAGGTACGTTCCAAGGTACGCTCCGCAAGGGAGGCCCGTTACAGCACACCTTGGGAGAACTGGCATTACATCGGGGGCCGTTGTGCTGGCCAATGATGCGCTGGACGCGCTGGGGTGAAATCGATAGCTCAGGTGAGGTTCATGGGCGGCCTACCCTACTTGAACCGCACCTCATGTGAGGTGCCAGTGAAGAGCGTACGTGGTCGCGGCCGCACGAGCAAATGTTATTTTCTGCCAGGAGCTGGGCAACTGTACAGACCACGAGTAAGTAGGTGAACATTTGCGCTAAGAATCGTCGTCGTCCAGAAGCCCGGTGTCCAGATGTCCACTTTGTTGGCTATCGTGTCAAAGGCATCTTAGCCGGGCATACACACCCATCGCTTTAGCAAATGCCGTGCTGGACCCCGCGTTCCCGGCGCGTTGCACTCGTCACGAAGGGTACTATGCCGGGCGAAGGACGCGGGTGGTTGACCGGGAGTGGTTCCGGGGTTGGCTGGTAATCACAACATCGGCGACGGGCGTGGTGTTTCTCAACCCTGAGTGATGAAGGGGCGACGAACGTTTCCCTTGGCTTGGACCTGGCCCCCACCTGGCCCTGCAGTGGAGACAGCGGATAACCTTCTCGGCCTCGGCCGTTTGAACGGCTGGAGGCAGAGTCCAAGCATTCCAAATTTGCCCTGTGGGGGAGCCACGGACGATTCTTTCGGGGCGTGGCTGCCAGGGTGACCCTGGGCAGTTCAAGGTTGCGGGTTCTGGGCCTGCGTCCATTGGGGGGCCGTCTTCGCTGTGCGTGCTGTTTACACGAGTTGCTGTCAGTCCTGCCTATGTCCGCTAACACACGCTATCTCGCCGATCCGGCGGCGCCGTGGCTAGTGCTGTCCCGCTCGACCTGAAGAAGCCTGTGGGCTAAATCAGAGCAACCTGAGGCAGTTGTGGAGAGACTAGAACAACGGGCTGCGCTTGTCTATGGCTGGACGAGCTTTCTTCAGGTCAATCAAATCGGACGTCGTGCCAAGAGCGTGAAGGGAGACGCGATTTGAGCGGCCAAAGTTTATTGATAGGGATCTGGTGTGTCAGTCAGTTCTTGTGTCGAGAGACGGAACTCCAGACATGACGTTGAGGCCGGTCTGTACCATACTGCTTCGCGTGCTGCTTCGAACGCACTTACGTATGTACATGCATGATGCATCCAGACGCGGCAGGCTTGGTGGCGGCCGACGTGACTGCAGCAATATTGGCAGCTGGTCGTGTGCTCAGTCCGCGGTGGCTGTCGGCAGTCGTCGGAAGAGCCACCACAGCAGCAAGCGGCGGCCGCATGCCGGCGGGGATTATACGAAGCAATATCGACGCTAAGACGGAATCGTGCCAATGCGGCTGAGGCGGGCGGGAAACTGGTGACGGGGATCACCCCCGTGGAACGCGTAATGTGGATGTGAGATGTGTGGTACAGTGCATACATGGATGCTGGAGGTGGTGAGCGGTTGCGCGGCCGATCAGATCATCGCCATTATCCTCTCCGCCGTGCCAGTGACGCGGCGGGCTGCATCGCGGCTGATCGCTCTCGAGCCACGGCAGTCAACATCACCTCAGGACCAGCGGTTTCAGCCAGATCGGCGAGCTGGTTGAGGGGGCTGTGTTTGGGTTGGGGTTCAACATCGAGATACGAGATCTGCTCGGTATCCTGGCCGAAGCTCGGGGGCCCGGCCGAGACGGAGAATTCGAATTCAAATCGCGTCCATGAGGTGAGGGCCCAAGCCGGTGTGTTGACTATGCTAGGGCTGGGCCAGCAGGGTCCAGGCCTATGGCTCGGATGACGCCGAGGCCGAGGTTGCGGGAGTCTGAGCGTGTCCCAAGTGGAGGTCCTGGGTGGGAAGACGATCCGGGCGCCAGTTTGCGGTCGTCGAGGGGAGGCGCGAAGGGGCGACGACTCTCTCGCCGATGGATGATGGACGTGTGGAAGAGCCCGTGAGGGTAAAGGTGCGGGTGAAGTCCAGGCCCTACCGCTAATGCAGGGCCCTGTCTCTTATACACATCTAGATGTGTATAAGAGACAGGCGCTTGGGCGCTGGTGCCTGAGGGCCTTCTGTGCCTGTACCTGAGGCTCCCCGAGGCTCCGCGGGCTGCTGTGGCTGTGGCGCCAGGGCGCAAAGCAAGTGACGTCGCACCGCCAAATTGGACCTCTGCCCACAGCGGTGGGTGCGTCGCCACTGCCTGCAACCACCATCCAGCATCATCTCCACGCCATGCGCTGACAGCCAGGGTGCTGTGCTGTCGGACCTTGAATCCGACTGGGCGCTCCCCATTGCTGCCGTGCAACCTGCCGTTGGGAGCCGCCAGTCTGTCTATTCGTTACACCGTGGCGCAACCTCCACATTTGAGAGAGAAAACATGGCTGAGATGGAGAGATCAGAGAAGCCCAAGTCCAGCGTCAAGGCAGGCGGCGTTGCGCACGAGCCTCGACGACGGTGCATGTACGAAGCACTTACGCAGCACAGACGACTGGGCCCCAGCGAGCCGAAGCCCTCTGGCCCCCGAGGCGCCATGGTTGCCGCCATCCCGCTGGTTCCTGGCTAGGCCAGCTCCGGGTCCAGGGCTAAAGGCGCTGTGGAAGCTAGAGCCACCACCACGTCGACGACGACGGCGAGCGAACCCGACCCATGCCTGCGCCCGCGGACAGGGACCCTGACGAACGGTGGAGAGCTGGCGCATCCAAAGCGGAGCGGCACACGAGCCATGCCGCCTGCATCTTCTCTGCTGCAGTGCAACTCCATCCTCCACCAACGGCGCTTGCCTCCGTGGCCGTGACCTGAAGGCGCACGGGTCAGGCAAGATCCTTGATCCCGCTCCGTCGTCGCTCACGATCAGCTCGACCAGCTCGGCCAGTCGCTCCGACCAGGGTCCAGGGTCAGAGCCCCGGGCGGGCGATGTACAACCAAGCAGCACTTGCAAGCGCAATGGCCGAGCCGCTGGCTCATCTTGGCATCGTCTTGTTGTTCCCGCGTCGATTGCCTTCTCCGGATCCCGATTTTGGTCCCCTGCCTCGTATGCTAGCTGGCTGAGCGCCCAGGCTTGACCTGAATGCCGAGCTGGCGCTGGGCTTGCAGGGTTAGGATGTTGGCGATGCGTCGGGTGGCTCATAACGTTGGGGCGAGTGCCCGGCTCATCGCACGGAGTAGAGAAGTGGCAGACCATTCGAGCACTTGGCCATTATAAAAGCCCATGGCATCTCGCGTTCTTCCCATTGACTAGCTCCTCAGACTCGTCGACATCCGTTTGGACGACGCCGGGCTGCTCCCTAGTGTTCTAGCTTCATACAGTCGTTATCCTTCACCTTCGTTTCACCCCCTTTTTCTCTTCTCACAATGCGGTCGTTCGCGGCTGCTGCGGCGGCTCTGGCCGTCGTCCCGCTCACCCAGGCATGGAACATCCAGCTGCCTCCCTGCCTTGAGGAGTTCAAGCCCTTTGTCAAGTCCGGCTGCTACTCGGACAGTACTGGCGAGGCCCTCGTCTACCGTGCCAACGGGGACAAACACACCGTCGAGACGTGCGTTGCCGAATGCAAAGGTGCGTCGCTTTCCTCCATTGCATTCCTCTGAACTATGTGCTGACACACGTGTGCCAAAGGCAACGGCTTCCGCTATGCTGGTCTCAAGTACTACGGCATCTGCTTTTGCGGCGCCACCGTGAACGGGCCCCAGGTCGATGACTCCAAGTGCAGCTTCCCGTGCGAGGCCAACAAGAGTGAGATCTGCGGCGGCAATGATGAGCTCTCCATCTGGCAGGATCCAACCTTCCCCAAGGGGCCTGACGACACCACTGTCGACAGCTACAAGTCACTCGGCTGCTACACCGACAAGGGACCGGGCCGCACCCTGTCCTGGGACTCGAAAGCCGACGCTGCCACCTTGACTACGAAGTCGTGCTTGGCCGCCTGCGAGAAGAAGGGCTACCCGTATGCTGGCACCGAGTTCGGCGACGAGTGCTACTGCGGCAGCGTGCTTGCCAACAACACGGCCAAGACGGACGACGCTGAGTGCAACAGTCCCTGCGCGGGCGATGCCTCCGAAAAGTGTGGTGGCCGCAATGCCCTGAACCTTTATGTTGCCACAGACCTCGAGTCGCTGGAGCCATGCGGGTATAAGCCTCACACTACCACCACAACGGCGACCACGAAGTCTGGTTTCTCTACGACTACCAGGCGCAGCCATACCACTACCACCACCACTACAACCAGGCATAGCCAGGAGAGCACGACCACTACCAGGACTAGGAAGACCACGACCACCACCACAAGCAAGCCTAGCCAGGAGAGCACGACTACTACCAGGACTAGGAAGAGCACGACCACCACCACAAGCAGGCATAGCCAGGAGACCACGACCACCACTACAACCAAGCCCAGCCATCACAGTACTACTACCAGGACCAGGAAGACCACGACCACAACTACAACCAAGCCTAGCCATCACAGTACCACCAGCAAGACTCGGGAGACGACGACAACGACGACTACAACCAAGCCTAGCCATCACAGTACCACTACAAGCAAGCCTAGCCATCACAGCACCACCAGCAAGTCTCAGGAGACGACGACGACAACGACAACCAAGCCTAGCCATCACAGCACCACCAGTAAGTCTC